TTATTTGGAAAATTTTTGTGAGTGGGAATGTTTACTGTTAATTTGTTATTGTTTATTTCCGTTTTGTTAATTATCTTTTTCACTTGCCAATAAAGCATCCATCCGCCTCTCCTATCATCTTTATCCATCCAACCACCCTTCATCCATCCACCTCCCCTACCTCTCCTACCCACTTATCCATCCAACCACCCTTCATCCATCCAAACCTTCCTATCCCCTTATCCATCCAACCCACCTCATCCATCCACCTCCTACCCATCTTTATCCATCCAACCACCCTTCATCCATCCACCTCCCCTACCCATCTTTATCCATCCAACCACCCTTCATCCATCCACCTCCGCCCTACCCATCTTTATCCATCCAACCACCCTTCATCCATCCGCCTCTCCTATCATCTTTATCCATCCAACCACCCTTCATCCATCCACCTCTCCTACCCATCTTACCACCAACCACCCTTCACCATCCACCTCTCCTACCCATCTTATCCTCCACCACCCTCACCACCACCCCCGCCCTACCCATCTTATACCTCCAACCCACCCTTCATCCATCCACCTCCTCTTCCCCATCTTTATCCATCCAACCACCCTCATCCATCCAAACCCACCTACCCATCTTATCCCTCCAACCACCCTCAAACCATCCACCCGCCTACCACCTTACCATCCAACCACCCTCATCCAGCCACCCGCCTACAACCTCCATCCAATACCTTTACCCTCCACCTCTCCTACCAACATCCACCACCACCCCTTCATCCCCTCCACCTCCTACCCTCTTTATCCATCCCAAACCCCCCTTCATCCCCTGCCCCCGCCTACCCATCTTTAACCACCAACCACCCTCATCCACCCCACCACTCCACCCACTTACCAGCCAGCACACCGCCTTCATCCACCGCCCCTCCAACACTTAAACCATCCAACCACCCCCTCATCCATCCGCCCGCCCCCACCCCACTTTCCACCAACCAGCACCTTCATCCACCCATCAACCATTCCCCTCACCCCTCCAATCCCCCTCCAACCACCCTCAAACCATCCACCTTTTCCACCCCAATCTTACACCCCACCCACCGCCAACACCCAGCCACCCTCCTACCCACTTTATCCATCAACCACCCCCTTCACCCACACCCCACCACCCCATCTTAAAATTCCAAACACCCCATCCACCACTCCTACCCATCTTACGATCAACCACCCTTCATCCATCCACCTCTCCTACCCATCTTTATCCATCCAACCCCCACTTTATCCTCCCCCTCTCCACCCAGCTTATCCATCAACACCATCCATCCACCCCTCCCCCTATCATCCTATACCCATCCCAACCACCCTTCATCCACCACCTCTCATACCCATTTTTATCCATCCATCCACCTCTCCTACCCATCTTTATCCATCCAACCACCCTTCATCCATCCACCTCTCCTACCCATCTTTATCCATCCAACCACCCTTCATCCATCCACCTCTCCTACCCATCTTTAAACCATCCAACCCACCCCTTTATCCATCCACCCTCCCTACCCCTCTTTACCCCTCCAACCAAACCCCTTTACCCCCCACCTCGCCTACCCATCTTTATCCATCCAACCACCCTTCATCCATCCACCTCTCCTACCATCTTTATCCATCCAACCACCCTTCATCCATCCACCTCTCCTACCCATCTTTATCCATCCAACCACCCTTCATCCCCTCTCCTACCATCTTTATCCATCCAACCACCCTTCATCCATCCCCCTCTCCTACCCATCTTTATCCATCCAACCACCCTTCCCCTCCATCCACCTCCGCCACCCATCTTTAAACCATCCCAACCACCCTTCATCCCCCTCTCCCCCACATTTTCCATCCAAACCACCCCATCCAGCCACCCCCACCCCCGGAGCCACCAACCACCCCAATCCCCCCACCTCTCCACCCCACCATCCACCCCCCCTTCCCCCACCACAAACTCCCACCTTTCCCCACCCCAACACCTCACACCATCCCCCCCTCGCACCAACACCACCAACCAAACCCTCAACCCCCCACCCTCCTCCCATTTACCACCCAAACCCCCCCACCAGCGGCCACGGGCCTACCCATTTTATCCATCCCCACCACCCCAAACCATCCCCACCCCCTACCCCTTATCCACCAACCACCCTCACCCCCGCCCCCTATCATCTTATCCACCAACCACCCTCATCATCCGCCTCCTACCCCATCTTTCCATCCAACCACCCTTCATCCAGCCACCCCCTAAACCCATCTTTACCATCCAACACCCTTCACCATCCACTTTTCCCCACCCCCTCTATCCATCCAACCACCCTTCATCCATTCCACCTCCCCTACCATGCTTATCCTTCCAACCACCCTTCATCCACAACCTCCTCACCCACGTTACAATTTCCAACCACCCTTCACCACCACCTCCCTAACCACCCTCTTTAGCATCAAAACCCCCCTCACCACCACCCCCACCCATCTACCAGCCAACCACCCCACCATCCCCCCCCTCCCACCCAGCCAACCCCACCAAACCAAACCCCCATCCCACCCTCCACACTTATCATCCAACCACCCTTCACACCCCCCACCCTAGCCCATTTTCTACCCCACCATCCACCTCTCCTACCCTCTTATCCATCCAACCACCTTCAAACCATCCAAACCCCTCCTACCCCATCTTTACCAATCCAACCACCTTCATCCACCCCCTCTCCACCCATCTTTATCCATCCAAACCACCCTTATCCATCCATCCGCTACATCTTATCTTCCAACTACCCCACCCATCCACCCTGCCTACCCATCTTACCACCAACCCCCTTCACCATCCACTCTCCTACCATCTTTATCCACCCCCAACCACCCTCATCCATCCACCCCTCCCCCATCTTTCCATCCAACCACCCTTCATCCCTCCACCTCTCCTACCCATCTTATCCATCCAACCACCCTTCATCATCCAAACCCCCCTACCCATCTTTATCCATCCCAAACCCCCCTTCATCCCCCACCTCTCCTACCCATCTTTATCCAAACCAACCCCATCCTCCACCCTCTCCTACATCTTTCCATCCAAACCCACCTTCAAATTCCATCACCTCCCTACCAAACTTTCCAAATTCCAACCACCCTTCATCCATCACCTCCCTACCATCTTTATCCATCCAAACCCCCTTCATCCACCTCCGCCTACCCATCTTTTTCCATCAAAACCCCCCTTCATCCCTCCCCCACCTACCCATTCTTATCCATCCACCACCCTTCATCCATCCCCTCTCCTACCCATCTTTTTCCATCCAACCACCCTTCATTCCCTCCACCCTCCTACATCTTTTTCCCTCCAACCACCCTTCAAACCATCCAAACCCCTTCCACCCCTTTTTCCCCTCAACCACCTTCTCATCCACCTCTCTACCCATCTTTATCCATCCAACCACCCTTATCATCCACCCTCCTACCCATCTTTTATCCATCCAACCACCCCTTCATCCATCCACCCTCTCCTACCCCATCTTTATCATCCAACCACCCTTCTCCCCTCCCCCCCCGAAACCATCCTTTATAATCCAACCACCTTATCATCCACCTCACCACATCTTTATCCATTCCAACACCCTTGACCACCAAAAACCCCTTCCCAAACCCAACCTTATCCACCAACCACCTTCACCCCCACTCCCCTACCCAAACGTAGTCCTAACGCACACCCTTAAACCATTTTACCGCTATCTTACCATTCCCAAACCCCCCTCTATTCCCCTCCTTTTACCCAACTAGTTCTAAAAACCATCCAACCACCTTATTCCTCCACCACTTACCCATCTTACCCTCCAAAACCCCCCTTCATTTTTACCACCTCTCTTAAAACCCAAACCTTTATCATTTTTAAAACCACGTTCATATCCACCTCCCTCCCTTTACACCCACCACCCTTCATCTCCACCCATCAAACCCGGGGGCCAACTTTCCTGTTGGGAACTAGGGCCTTATTCAACCTTGGGTTAAAAAAACAGACCTTTGTCACCCCCAGAGAGCCTTTTTCATACCTAACCCAGGAGTTTGGTTAAAACCCCCCTCTTTCATTTTTTCATTGGTTAAATTAGACCCCCAAAAGGGTTAACACCAACCCCTTTACCAACCCAGAGCAGTCCCAACCGGTAACACCACAACACTCTTCATTTTCCACAGCAGCTTGGTTCACTAGACCGGTTAAAAACCAACAGCTTTTAATTCACCAACGCTAGCTGGGTTTTTTTTTTTTTTTTTTTTTTTTTCTATTTAACACACTGGAAAGGGAAAAAAAAACAAAAGCATCCCGGGGCCTTAACACCTGGAAGGGAGCAGGTTCCCTTTGGTTTAAAACACCTAAAAGGGCAGGGTTGGTTCAAAAACCCCTTTCCACCCAAGAGCCCCAAACACTGGTTAACTTTAACCTAGAGCCCTCTCTGCATTTTTGACCATGATATTAATGTATTGAACACACAAATGATTAGACACACAACACTCTATTCTCATTTCAACCCAAGCAGACTAGTCTAGAACCGGATTACACACACAACACTCTATTCTCATTTCAACACAAGCAGACTAGTCTAGAACCGGATTACACACACAACACTCTATTCTCATTTCAACACAAGCAGACTAGTCTAGAACCGGATTACACACACAACACTCTATTCTCATTTCAACACAAGCAGACTAGTCTAGAACCGGATTACACACACAACACTCTATTCTCATTTCAACACAAGCAGACTAGTCTAGAACCGGATTACACACACAACACTATTCTCATTTCAACACAAGCAGACTAGTCTAGAACCGGATTACACACACAACACTCTATTCTAATTTCAACACAAGCAGACTAGTCTAGAACCGGATTACACACACAACACTCTATTCTCATTTCAACACAAGCAGACTAGTCTAGAACCGGATTAACTGTCCTGTGATTGTTCTAATGATTTACTTTTCTCATTCACCTGGAGCAGTTTGGTTAACACCTAGAGCAGTTTGGTTAACACATAGAGCAGCTTGGTTAACACCTAGAGCAGCTTGGTTAACACCTAGAGCAGCTTGGTTAACACCTAGAGCAGCTTGGTTAACACCTAGAGCAGCACGGTTAACACCTAGAGCAGCTTGGTTAACACCTAGAGCAGCACGGTTAACACCTAGAGCAGCTTGGTTAACACCTAGAGCAGCTTGGTTAACACCTAGAGCAGCTTGGTTAACACCTGGAGCAGCTTGGTTAATTCACCTAGAGCAGCTTGGTTAACACATAGAGCAGCTTGGTTAACACCTAGAGCAGCTCGGTTAACACCTAGAGCAGCTTGGTTAACACCTAGAGCAGCACGGTTAACACCTAGAGCAGCTTGGTTAACACCTAGAGCAGCTCGGTTAACACCTAGAGCAGCTTGGTTAACACCTAGAGCAGCACGGTTAACACCTAGAGCAGCTTGGTTAACACCTAGAGCAGTTTGGTTAACACCTAGAGCAGCACGGTTAACACCTAGAGCAGCTTGGTTAACACCTAGAGCAGCTTGGTTAACACCTAGAGCAGCACGGTTAACACCTGGAGCAGCTTGGTTAACACCTAGAGCAGCTTGGTTAACACCTGGAGCAGCACGGTTAACACCTGGAGCAGCTTGGTTAACACCTAGAGCAGCTTGGTTAATTCACCTAGAGCAGCTTGGTTAATTAACTCTGTCAGTGATACTCAAATTCTGCTTATCAGACACTGTGTGTGTGTGTGTGTGTGTGTGTGTGTGTGTGTGTGGTGTGTGTGTGTGTGTGTGTGTGTGTGTGTGTGTGTGTGTGTGTGTGTGTTTTTGCTTAACTATCCTTGTGGGTACCAGAAGTCCTCACAAGGATAGTAAAAGAAGGAACATTGTGGGGACATCTTGCCGGGCCTCATGAGGAAAATGCTATTTTAGGTTTCGGGTTACAATTAGGGTTAGGTTTAGTTTTAGGGTTAGGTATAGTTTTAGGGTTAGGTATAGTTTTAGGGTTAGGTATAGTTTTAGGGTTAGGTTTAGTTTTAGGGTTAGGTATAGTTTTAGGGTTAGGGGTTTGTAGTGAAGGATAGGTTTAGGGTTATGGTTAGGGTTATGGTTAGGTTAAGGGCTAAGGTTAGATTTAGGGTTAGGGACAATAGGATTTTGGATGGGAATAAATTATTTGGTCCCTACAAGGATTTCAATACAAAACTGTGTGTGTGTGTGTACAGCATTAGATGGGAGGATCCTTAACTAATTGAAGTGAAGAGGAGAGGAAAACGCTAAAATATTCATTTCCCAGAATGCCACACATGCATCTGTTTATTCTGGTTGGTTCTCCAGACCAGTAAAAAAAAAGAGCACAGTGGTAACCGTAGTAACTAAACATGAGCCAAAAATGGTGCATGTCATTTCAGTCACTTGCACTTAGTGTAGTGAAACAACATGCTTTTATAAAGGGGCACTCTGCAGTTCAAACAACAATAAAGTAGTTTGAAGGATTATAAATCGTGGGTTATTGCCTTCTAGGGTAGATGAGTATCAGTGACAGAGTTAAACACACACACACATTCATTTAGTCTGTGTGTGCGCGCGCATGTGCGTCCGTTCACGCATTTAACTCTGTCACTGATACTCATCTACCCAAGATTATAATCCTTCAAACGCACAACAAGGCAATAACCCAAGATTATAATCCTTCAAACGCACAACAAGACAATAACCCAATATTATAATCCTTCAAACGCACAACAAGGCAATAACCCAAGATTATAATCCTTCAAACGCACAACAAGACAATAACCCAAGATTATAATCCTTCAAACGCACAACAAGGCAATAACCCAAGATTATATCCTTCAAACACACAACAAGACAATAACCCAAGATTATAATCCTTCAAACGCACAACAAGGCAATAACCCACGATTATAATCCCTAGAGAGCTACATACACATAGTAATAATCCAACTTTAAAGTCCTCAGAAGCATCAACACAAGGATTAACATTTAAACATTTCACTCTGACGATGTTAAATTGTAAAGCATTAGACGGATCTCTTTTACTAATTCTTTAAAGGTCTCGTCCAGTCAAACTCAAATATAATTCTATCCATCAGTTTTATTCCATATATCAGGTCGGGTGTTATTAGACTCAACAAAGTTTGAAAAATGAGTTTCATAGCTAAAGAAACCTAATTATTTTAACATTTTACCCTTACATAAACATAGTTTATATTCAGGGTTCTGATGGGGTACAACAGTTGAACTAAGCTCATGAGGCATTTATAAATTATACTCTTCAAGAATCAAAATGGGGTATATATCATTAATCTAAAAAAAAGAAATGGATGTAGCAATCGCAGATTACCCCTTTAAACTGTACAGCGTTAGATGGGAGGATCCTTAACTAATTGAAGTGAAGAGGAGAGGAAAACGCTAAAATATTCATTTCCCAGAATGCCACACATGCATCTGTTTATTCTGGTTGGTTCTCCAGACCAGTAAAAAAAGAGCACAGTGGTAACCATAGTAACTAAACATGAGTTATGCAGCAGAGCCAAAAATGGTGGCTCTCATTTCAGTCACTTGCACTTAGTGTAGTGAAACAACATGCTTTTAAAGGGGCACTCTGCAGTTCAAACAACAATAAAGTAGTCACGTGTAAACAGCTGAGGGATGGGGCTAATCCTTGTGTTGATGCGTCTGAGGACTTTTAAGGTTTGATTTTTACTAAATGTAACTACTCTCAAATTCATGGACAGAGCTAGGACTGACCATCCATGATATCACAATTCTAGTTTTAATCATGTATTGAGGCTATACAGTGTTTGTTTACAATTACAGTTTTTACAAACAATGAAGTAAAACAAGCTTCTATTTAGGGTTCTGATGGGGTACGACAGCTGAACTAAGCTAATGAGGCATTTATAATTTATATTCTTCAACAATCAATGGCTATATATCATTAATTTAAAAGTAAAAAAAAATGGATCTACTAATCACAGACGGCCCCTTTAATGTTGCTGGCCCATTTTCCAAACTCCCATGTCTGCTCCTCTCCCTTGGTAACTCTACAACATCATGTTGTGCTCCGTAGGTTGACTGAGTGTGTTTTCATTCAGCATTATATTTCTGGGGAGATGTATTGATTATGGAAAGTCCAATAATAGACTGATACAGTAGCATAACAACACACAGAAGCTGTGGTTTCAATGCAACACAGCTACATTCTTGTCTATCAAGGTTGAGTACTGTGTCATGTATTTTATTTTTTTGTGTGGACCCCAGGAAGAGTAGCTACTGCATGAGCAACAGCTAATGAGGAGCCCAATAAACTAAACTGCACAATCTAGATATACTGTAATACAGAAAGATACTTACCTACAATGGCAACGTTATGTTCAGATCCACAAGCAATCTGTGGAGAGAAAAACAGACGTGATGAGCTCTCTGCATGATATATTCTGTTGATTGGTGATGAGATCTGAAGTCTGCATCATATGTTCTGTTCATTGGTGATGAGATCTGAAGTCTGCGTCATATCTACTGTTGATTGGAAGTCTCGAGGTTTTGCTCACCTGAACTAGAGTATCTCATGATAAGCTGCAGAACACACTATTTACCAAGAGAGTTTTCATCTATATTTTTCGTTGCTGTCTATTTACCAACACAAACCGATGCTGGCACTAAGACCGCACTCAATGAGCAGTATAAGGCCATAAGCAAACAGGAAAACGCTCATCCAGAGGCGGCGCTCCTAGTGGCCGGGGACTTTAATGCAGGGAAACTGAAATCTGTTTTAACTCATTTCTACCAGCATGTTAAATGTGCAACCAGAGGAAAAAAATCTCTAGACCACCTTTACTCCACACACAGATACGTATACAAAGCTCTCCCTCGCCCTCCATTTGGCAAATCTGACCATAATTATATCCTCCTGATTCCTGCTTACAATCAAAAACTAAAGCAGGAAGTACCAGTGACTCGATCAATACAGAAGTGGTCAGATGATGCAGATGCTAAGATACAGGACTGTTTTACTAGCACAGACTGGAATATGTTCCGGGATTCTTCAGATAGCATTGAGGAGTACGCCACATCAGTCACTGGCTTCATCAATAAGTGCATCGATGACGTCGTCCCCACAGTGACCGTACGTACATACCCCAACCAGAAGCCATGGATTACAGGCAACATCCGCACTGAGCTAAAGGGTAGAGCTGCCGCTTTCAAGGAGCAGGACTCTAACCCGGACGCTTAAAGAAATCCCGCTATGCCCTCCGACGAACCATCAAACAGGCATAGCGTCAATACAGGCCTAAGATCGAATCGTACTACACAGGCTCTGACGCTTGTCGGATGTGGCAGGGCTTGCAAACTATTACGGACTACAAAGAGAAGCACAGCCGCGAGTTGCCCAGTGACACGAACCTACCAGACCAGCTAAACTAATTCTATGCTCACTTCAAGGCAAGCAACACTGAAGCATGCATGAGAGCATCAGCTGTTCTGGACGACTGTGTGATCACGCTCTCCGTAGCCAATGTGAGTAAGACCTTTAAACAGGTCAACATTCACAAGGCCGCAGGGCCAGACGGATTACCAGGACGTGTACTCCGAACATGCGCTGACCAACTGGCAAGTGTCTTCACTGACATTTTCAACCTGTCCCTGACTGAGTCTGTAATACCAACATGTTTCAAGCAGACCACCATAGTCCCTGTGCCCAGGAACACTAAGGTAACCTGCCTAAATGACTACCGACCCATAGCACTCACGTCTGTAGCCATGAAGTGCTTTGAAAGGCTGGTCATGGCTCACATCAACACCATTATCCCAGAAACACTAGACCCACTCCAATTTGCATATCGCCCCAACAGATCCACAGATGATGCAATCTCTATTGCACTCCACACTGTCCTTTTCCACCTGTACAAAAGGAACACCTACGTGAGAATGCTGTTCATTGACTACAGCTCAGCATTCAACACCATAGTGCCCTCAAAGCTCATCACTAAGCTAAGGATCCTGGGTCTAAACACCTCCCTCTGCAACTGGATCCTGGACTTCCTGACGGGCCGCCCCCAGGTGTATATAGCCTGTATATAGCCTCACTACTGTTATTTCACATTGACTCTGTACCGGTACCCCCTGTATATAGCCTCCCTACTGTTATTTCACATTGACTCTGTACCGGTACCCCCTGTATATAGCCTCCCTACTGTTATTTCACATTGACTCTGTACCGGTACCCCCTGTATATAGCCTCGCTACTGTTATTTCACATTGACTCTGTACCGGTACCCCCTGTATATAGCCTCACTACTGTTATTTCACATTGACTCTGTACCGGTACCCCCTGTATATAGCCTCACTACTGTTATTTCACATTGACTCTGTACCGGTACCCCCTGTATATAGCCTTATCTATTTTTTACTTAACACTTAAATTTCGTACAACTGCATTGTTGGTTAAGGGCTTGTAAGTAAACATTTCACTGTAAGGTCTACACCCGTTGTATTCGGCACATGTGACAAATACAATTTGATTTGATTTGATGATGAGATTACTAGTCTGGGAAGTACAGTAGCTGGGAAGACAGTGACAATGTTATGGCTATAATTTCTACTTTCTACAGCTAACCTATTAAAATCAAATCAAATGTTATTGGTCACATACATATTTAGCAGATGTTATTGCGGGTGTAGCGAAATGCTTGTGTTCCAAGCTCCAACAGTGCAGTTGTATCTAACAATTCACAACAATAGACACAAATCTAAAAGTAAAAGAATGGAATTAAGAAATATATACACTACCAGTCAAAAGTTTGGACACACCTACTCATTCAAGGGTTTTTCTGTATTTGTACTATTTTTTACATTGTAGAATAATAGTGAAGACATCAAAACTATGAAACAACACATATGGAATCATGTAGTAACCAAAAAAAAATTGTTAAACAAAATCAAAATATATTTTATATTTGAGATTCTTCAAATAGCCACCCTTTGCCTTGATGACAGCTTTGCACAATCTTGATTTGTTTAACACTTTTTTTGGTTACTACATGATTCCATATGTGTTATTTCAATGTTTTGATGTCTTCAATATTATTCTACAATGTAGAAAATAGTAAAAACAAAGAAAAACCCTTGATATAAATGAGTAGGTGTGTCCAAACTTTTGACTGGTACTGTAAATATTAGGACGAGCAATGTCAGAGTGGCATTGACTAAAATACAGTAGAATAGAATACAGTCTATACATATGAGATGAGTAAAGCAGTACAGTGAGGGGAAAAAGTATTTGATCCCCTGCTGATTTTGTACGTTTGCCCACTGACAAAGACATGATCAGTCTATAATTTTAATGGGAGTTTTATTTGAACAGTGAGAGACAGAATAACAACAACAAAAAATCCAGAAAAACACATGTCAAAAATGTTATAAATTGACTTGCATCAAATCAAATACTTTTTTCCCTCACTGTATGTAAACATTATTAAAGTGGCCAGTGATTCCATGTCTATGTATATAGGGCAGCAGCCTCTAATGTGCAGGGTTGAGTAACCGGGTGGTAGCCGGCTAGTGATGGCTATTTAACAGTCTGATGGCCTTGAGATAGAAGCTGTTTTTCAGTCTCTTGGTCCCAGCTTTGATGCACCTGTACTGACCACGCCTTCTGGATGATAGCGGCCATGGCTCGGGTGGTTGATGTCCTTGATTATCTTTTTGGCCTTCCTGTAACATCGGGTGCTGTAGGTGTCCTGGAGGGCAGGCAGTGTGCCCCCTGGTGATGCGTTGGGCAGACCGCACCCCCCTCTGGAGAGCCCTGCGGTTGCGGGCGGTGCAGTCGCCGTACCAGGCGGTGATACAGCCCGACAGGATGCTCTCAATTGTGCATCTGTAAAAGTTTGTGAGTGTCTTAGGGGCCAAGCCAAATGTCTTCAGCCTCCTGAGGATGAAGAGGCATTGTTGAGCCTTCTTCACCACACTGTCTGTGTGGGTGGACCATTTCAGATTGTCAGTGATGTGCACACTGAGGAACTTGAAGCTTTCCACCTTCTTCACTGCGGTCCTGTCGATGTGGATAGGGGCATGCTCCCTCTGCTGTTTCCTGAAGTCCACGATCAGCTCCTTTGTTTTGTTGATGTTGAGGTCATTTTTATGGCACCACACTCCCAGAGCCCTCACCTCCTCCCTGTAGGCTGTCTCGTCATTGTTGGTAATCAAGCCTACTACTGTTGTGTCATCTGCAAACTTGATGATTGAGTTGGAGGTGTGCGTGGCCACGCAGTCATGGGTGAACAGGGAGTACAGGAGGGGGCTGAGCACGCACCCTTGTGGGGCCCCAGTTTTGAGGATCAGCGAAGTGGAGGTGTTGTTTCCTACCTTCACCACCTGGGGGTGGCTGTCAGGAAGTCCAGGAACCAGTTGCACAGGGTGGGGTTCAGACCCAGGGCTCCGAGCTTAATGATGAGCTTGGAGGGTACTATGGTGTTGAAGGCTGGGCTATAGTTCATGAACAGCATTTTTACATAGGTATTCCTCTTGTCCAGATGGGATAGGGCAGTGTGCAGTGCGATGGCGATTGCATCGTCTGTGGATCTATTGGGGTGGTAAGCAAATTGAAGTGGGTCTAGGGTGTCAGGTAAGGTAGAGGTGATATGCTCCTTGACTAGCCTCTCAAAGCACTTCATGATGACAGAAGTGAATGCTACAGGGTGATAGTCATTTAGTTCAGTTACCTTTGGTTTCTTGGGTACAGGAACAATGGTGGGCATCTTGAAGCAAGTGGGGACAGCAGACTGGGATAGTGAGAGATTGAATATGTCCGTAAACACTCCAGCCAGCTGGTCTGTGCATGCTCTGAGGACGCGGCTAGGGATGCCGTCTGGGCCGGCAGCGTTGCGGCGGTTAACACGCTTAAACGTCTTAATCACGTCGGTCATGGAGAACGAGAGCTCACAGTCCTATTCTACATGATCAACATACAAAACAACAAACTACATTACATAGGCCGAATATATGCAGGGAGCACACATAAATCCACCCTTCTTTTGACAAGGCACACATCTTTTCTCTTTCTTAACATGTTAGCATGTAGCTGAGGCAAGATATTATTACATCAATAGGGAGATCCCAAATAGCACCCTATTCCTTATATAGAGACCTATGGACCCTGGTCTAAAGTAGTGCACTACATAGGGAATAGAGTGCCATTTGAGACGCTGACCCAGCATAATGGCAAGGTTCTCAGAGAGCCACTAAGACTGGAGGTTAAAAGGAGCATTGCCATGTTATTCCCATGCTATTCACTAATAATTGCTAGCCTGGAGGTCCCATGTGACAATGACCATGGGAGTTGGCAAGACAGCACAAAGGCTAGCCAGAGACCAGGCTACATAGTGGCCCGCTTGGAGAAGATGATGTTGGGCCTATAGCTAAATATGTGCCACGTTGTTATCTCTCTGGGGGGCTGATGGTGTTAGATAATATGTTGTTATCTCTCTGGGGGGCTGATGGTGTTAGATAATATGTTGTTATCTCTCTGGGGGGCTGATGGTGTTAGATAATGTTGTTATCTCTCTGGGGGGCTGATGGTGTTAGATAATATGTTGTTATCTCTCTGGGGGGCTGATGGTGTTAGATAATGTTGTTATCTCTCTGGGGGGCTGATGGTGTTAGATAATATGGTGTTATCTCTCTAGGGGGGCTGATGGTGCTGATAAAGGGAGAGGCACCCTGGTTGTGTCCCAATAATCTCTTATTTCTTTCCTTTACTGATTCCAAAGGTAATGACTGGTATAAGAGACTCCCAGTAGCCCATGCTTCCACCAACCCATTGCTTTTAGATTTGAAGGAAGTAGTGAACAAGTGCACACTTCAGGAGAAAGGAGGGATTGGGACGCAACCACTGATTGCACACACAGACATAATAGGGTGCATCCAAAATAGCACCCTATTCCCCTTACAGTGCAGGTAATAACCAACGCACTCATACAGTAGCCTTGTATCAAGGATAGAACTCTGTAACAAAGAACCTTGAGTTTGAGTGATTGTGATTTAGTTAGTTTCTACTGCCCTCTACTGGACTGGGGCTGAACTTCTCTTCAACAGTCTCTCTCCACACCAATAAGGATGAATGACAAGAGGATTGTGGAATCGAGGGCTTTTTCGACATTGCAGGCGACTGACAACTGACTGATCTACAAAATCACCTCGCTTCATACAAAACTACTCATTATTATTCACCCCACAATGCATCACAGATTTCGAACACGGTAATTGTTTGGTTAATTTGTGCAACAGCGCGACTGCTTAGCGGATGGTCAGGAACGCGGCCATTATCTCAAACACACCTGTCTGGCTCCACAGAGGACCTTGACTTCCGCAGGGACACGTGCCCATTGGCTGGCAGCTCCCGTCGACGCACCACCTGATCGCTGATCTGCACTCTGATTGGTTGATTCTGTCCTTCCCAGCTGTCCGTAATTGCTTCTGCCCCAGGTGAAGACCCGCCCACTCTCTGGAAGAAACAAGTGGCACTCCATTTAGTCAGGATCATTATAAGATGGTAACAAGACATTATAAGATGGTAACAAGACATTATAACATGGTAACAAGACATTATAAGACGGTAATAAGACATTAAGATGGTACTAAGACATAAGATGTTACTAAGACATTACAAGATGGTAATAAGATATTAACCCTTGTGTGGTGTTCGGGTTTGTGGGACCCATTTTCAATGTTTACTAAAAGAAAAACGATGCAATGAATCATTTTTTCAACCTGAGACTCATTGGCCTTGGCTCATTGTAAAATATGTAAAATAACACATTTTAATTGAGGGCACACTGTGCACCCCCTACACATTTATATTCCATATGTGGTGTTCGGGTCCATCGTACCCGAGGGTAATAAAAGGGTGGAAAAGTGTGTAGGTGAAAACAAGTAAAAATGAAACAAAAAGGTTTGCTCTTTGCCTTCCTCCTCCCTGCTGTTTCAACATAGCACCAAGAACCTGTCTCCCTGCCTGTCTGCCTGTCTCCCTGCCTGTCTGTCTGCCTGTCTCCCTGCCTGTCTGTCTGTCTCCCTGCCTGCCTGTCTGTCTCCCTGCCTGCCTGCTTGTCTCCCTGCCTGTCCGTCTCCCTGTCCGTCTCCCTGTCCGTCTCCCTGCCTGTCTCCCTGCCTGTCTCCCTGCCTGCCTGTCTCCCTGTCTGTCTGCCTGTCTCCCTGTCTCCCTGCCTGTCTCCCTGCCTGCCTGTCTCCCTGCCTGCCTGTCTCCCTGTCTGTCTGTCTCCCTGCCTGTCTCCCTGCCTGTCTGTCTCCCTGCCTGTCTCCCTGTCTGTCTCCCTGCCTGTCTCCCTGCCTGTCTCCCTGCCTGTCTCCCTGTCTGTCTCCCTGCCTGTCTTCCTGCCTGCCCGTCTCCCTGTCTGTCTGTCTGTCTGTCTGTCTGTCTGTCTCCCTGTCTGTCTGTCTCCCTGTCTGTCTCCCTGCCTGCCTGCCTGCCTGTCTCCCTGCCTGTCTCCCTGCCTGTCTGTCTGTCTCCCTGCCTGTCTGTCTGCCTGCCTGTCTCCCTGCCTGTCTCCCTGCCCTTCTCCCTGCCTGCCTGTCTCCTGCTTTTCTCGCACTCTTTACCCTTTGTAGTGTGTGAAACCTCACAATGTCTTGCGGAAACCTGCACAATGTTATTTCAATACATTATTTCGATACATTGTAAAAAAATATATATGTGTATGTATTTTCCCACACTCTACCCCAGCCAGGTGCAAATTGGGGGAGGGACACAACAAATAAATAGCTTTGCAGGTGTGGCTCTTTACCACAATCAATCAGTATGGAGAAAATAATCTCTGCTCAGAGGGCCTTAGAATTTTTTTGGGCAGAGAGAGAAGCTTGTGTGGAAGGAGCGTCTTCCACTTTGGAAGATGGAAGAATTTTCAGAATATGAGGATCATGTCTCTGGACCGCCTTCCCCTGTTTTACAACCCTGGGCCCAACGTTACTGTTGATGAGAAGCTTATGCCATTTAGGCCTGCCCCTTCAGGCAGCACATACCGTCTAAACACGCAAAATATGGAATCAAGATCTGGGCTGCCTGTGATGCTGCTGCTTCATCAGATGCGGGGAACTTGCAAGTGTATACGGGGAAGCCAGATGGAGGAGCCCCTGAGAAGAACCAAGGGATGCGGGTTGTCCTGGACGTGACACAGGGACTCCGTGGCCACAACATCACATGCGATAACTTTTTTTTACTTCGCACAAGCTGAGACAGGAGCTCCTCAAGAGGAAGCTGACGATGGTAGGAACAGAACTAATTAACAAGCCAGAGCTCCCACCTCAAGCTGTTGAATACACGGAACAGGCCTGTCAAGTCCTCTAAGTTGGTGTTCACGGCCGACACGTCCCTAGTGTCCTACGTGCCAAAGAAGGGCAAAGATGTGGTACTCATGAGTACGCTGCATAGGGATGGGAGAATCTGTGGAACATCAAAAACCAGAAATCATAATGGATTACAATGCCTAAAAAACGAGGGGTGGACAATTTAGACAAGCTGGCTACAGCTGCAAAAGAAGAAACCTACGCTGGCCACTTGTGATATTCTTCAACATCTTGGACATCTCGGCGTACACCGCGTTTTGTCATCTGGATGGCGTTGAACTCAGGTTGGAACAGGGGGAAGCTCCAGAGGAGACGGCTTTTTCTCGAGGAGCTGGGCAAGGCACTGGTAAGACCTCAAATCCAGAGGAGGCAACATATCCCAAGGACCCCAGCTACTGCAGCCATCGTGAGGAGGATTCAGGAGGAGGATGCTGGCGCCCCATCCGCCCGACCCACAGAACCAACAACTCTAAACCCGGAAGTAAGTGTGAGTGATGTTGTTGTGTGTGTGTCTGACTCTCCTACCTTGGCCTGCTGTAACTATATACAGTGGGGAGAACAAGTATTTGATACACTGCCGATTTTGCAGGTTTTCCTAAAAAAATCCAGAAAATCACATTGTATGATTTTTAAGTAATTAATTTGCATTTTATTGCATGACATAAGTATTTGATCACCTACCAACCAGTAAGAATTCTGGCTCTCACAGACCTGTTAGTTTTTCTTTAAGAAGCCCTCCTGTTCTCCACTCATTACCTGTATTAACTGCACCTGTTTGAACTCGTTACCTGTATAAAAGACACCTGTCCACACACTCAAACAGACTCCAACCTCTCTACAATGGCCAAGACCAGAGAGCTGTGTAAGGACATCAGGGATAAAATTGTAGACCTGCACAAGGCTGGGATGGGCTACAGGACAAAAGGCAAGCAGCTTGGTGAGAAGGCAACAACTGTTGGCGCAATTATTAGAAAATGGAAGAAGTTCAAGATGACGGTCAATCACCCTCGGTCTGGGGCTCCATGCAAGATCTCACCTCGTGGGGCATCAATGATCATGAGGAAGGTGAGGGATCAGCCCAGAACTACACGGTAGGACCTGGTCAATGACCTGAAGAGAGCTGGGACCACAGTCTCAAAGAAAACCATTAGTAACACACTACGCCGTCATGGATTAAAATCCTGCAGCGCACGCAAGGTCCCCCTGCTCAAGCCAGCGCATGTCCAGGCCCGTCGGAAGTTTGCCAATGACCATCTGGATGATCCAGAGGAGGAATGGGAGAAGGTCATGTGGTCTGATGAGACAAGAATACAGCTTTTTGGTCTAAACTCTACTCGCCGTGTTTGGAGGAAGAAGAAGGATGAGTACAACCCCAAGAACACCATCCCAACCGTGAAGCATGGAGGTGGAAACATCATTCTTTGGGGATGCTTTTCTGCAAAGGGGACAGGACGACTGCACCGTATTGAGGGGAGGATGGATGGGGCCATGTATCACAAGATCTTGGCCAACAACCTCCTTCCCTCAGTAAGAGCATTGAAGATGGGTCGTGGCTGGGTCTTCCAGCATGACAACGACCCGAAACACACAGCCAGGGCAACTAAGGAGTGGCTCCGTAAGAAGCATCTCAAGGTCCTGGAGTGGCCTAGCCAGTCTCCAGACCTGAACCCAATAGAAAGTCTTTGGAGGGAGCTGAAAGTCCGTATTGCCCAGCGACAGCCCCGAAACCTGAAGGATCTGGAGAAGGTCTGTATGGAGGAGTGGGCCAAAATCCCTGCTGCAGTGTGTGCAAACCTGGTCAAGATCTACAGGAAACGTATGATCTCGGTAATTGCAAACAAAGGTTTCTGTACCAAATATTAAGTTCTGCTTTTCTGATGTATCAAATACTTATGTCATGCAATAAAATGCAAATTAATTACTTAAAAATCATACAATGTGATTTTCTGGATTTTTGTTTTAGATTCCGTCTCTCACAGTTGAAGTGTACCTATGATAAAAAATTACAGACCTCTACATGCTTTGTAAGTAGGAAAACCTGCAAAATCGGCAGTGTATCAAATACTTGTTATCCCCACTGTATGTGAGTGAGTGAGTGAGTGAATGAGTGAATGTGTGAGTGAGTGAGTGAGTGAGTGAGTGAATGAGTGAATGTGTGAGTGAGTGTGTGAGTGTGTGAGTGAGTGATGTTAGCTAAATTCATTCTAGATTGCAGCCGGTAGCAACAAGAAGAAGCGCTGTGATGTGTTTGGACCCGAGAAGGACAGGAAGACACAGTACACATGCATCAAGTGCAAGAAATACATTTTCAACACACACACACAGTAAAACTCTGTCCCACATGTGGTGTAGACTGGCCTTAATTTGTGTTCAATGGGGCTCATTTATCATTTCCATAAAATACTGTATGTAAAATCTGTCCTTCCAATTTGTTCAGTTCAAAGCAATAAACATAAATATCCATGAAAACCTTGTTTCATTTATATTTGTTCAAGATAAACATGATTTATTCCACCCATGTCTTGACTATATTGGGGTAAATTTGATCCCAAAAAAATGAATAGCGCTTTTATTGATAAATGAGATCTAGCAGAGGTAAATGGCAAATATTAACCATGTATGCTGTCTATATTGCTTGTAATTGATATAAGTCAACATCTAAGTATTAAGTATTTTTACGTAAATTGTTATGGCTGTATTGTTTTAAAAAACCCAAAATGTTGTGGGTCCATCAGACCCGGGTGAATAACAAACACACCATAAGATGGTAATAAGACATTATAAGATGGTAATAAGATATTATACGATGGTAATAAGACATAAGATGGTAATAAGACATAATAAGATGGTAATAAGACATTATAAGATGGTAATAAGACATTTTTAGGGTCATACATATTTATGACAAGTCTTACAATGTATTAGAACCGTTTCATAACGCATTATACCTGTATGTAGTGGTGTCACCCACAGCCCCATTAATACTAATACATGTGAATTCTCTAGTTAGATTTGAAGCCTCAACACAGAGACACCTCAGATATACAGCATTTCTCCAGATATACAGCATGTTTCCAGATATACAGCATGTTTCCAGATATACAGCATGTTTCCAGATATACAGCATGTTTCCAGATATACAGCATGTTTCCAGATATACAGCATGTTTCCAGATATACAACATTTTTCTAGATATGCAGCAGGTTTCTAGAAGGAGATCATTAAGTAAATTGACAAACCACAGAGACACCTCAGATATACAGCATGTCTCTAGATATACTGCATGTTTCCAGATATACAGCATGTTTCCAGATATACAGCATGTTTCCAGATATACAGCATGTTTCCAGATATACAGCATGTTTCCAGATATACAAAAAATGTCTAGATATACAGCAGGTTTCTAGAAGGAGATCATTAAGTAAATTGACAAACCACAGATATTCCTCAGATATACAACATGTTTCCAGATATACAGCATGTTTCCAGATATACAGCATGTTTCCAGATATACAAATTTTTTCTAGATATACAGCAGGTTTCTAGAAGGAGATCATTAAGTAAATTGACAAACCACAGAGATTCCTCAGATATACAACATGTTTCCAGATATACAGCATGTTTCCAGATATACAGCATGTTTCCAAATATACAGCACATTTCCACATATACAGCACATTTCCACATATACAGCATGTTTCCATATATACAGCATGTTTCCAGAAAGAGATCATCAAGTAAATTGACAAACCAAAAACAAAGAGATTCCTCAGATATGCAGCATGTTTCCAGATATACAGCATGTTTCTAGATATACAGCACGTTTCCAGATATACAGCACGTTTCCAGATATACAGCATGTTTCCAGATATACAGCATGTTTCCAGATATACAGCATGTTTCCAGATATACAGCATGTTTCCAGATATACAGCATGTTTCCAGATATACAACATGTTTCCAGATATACAGCATGTTTCCAGATATACAGCATGTTTCCAGATATACAGCATGTTTCCAGATATACAGCATGTTTCCAGATATACAACATGTTTCCAGATATACAGCATGTTTCCAGATATACAACATGTTTCCAGATATACAACATGTTTCCAGATATACAGCATGTCTCCAGATATACAACATGTTTCCAGATATACAGTGGGGGGAAAAAGTATTTAGTTAACCACCAATTGTGCAAGTTCTCCCACTTAAAAAGATGAGAGAGGCCTGTAATTTTCATCATAGGTACACGTCAACTATGACAGACAAAATTAGAAAAAAAAATCAAGAAAATCACATTGTAGGATTTTTTATGAATTTATTTGCAAATTATGGTGGAAAATAAGTATTTGGTCAATAACAAAAGTTTCTCAATACTTTGTTATATACCCTTTGTTGGCAATGACACAGGTCAAACGTTTTCTGTAAGTCTTCACAAGGTATTCACACACTGTTGCTGGTATTTTGGCCCATTCCTCCATGCAGATCTCCTCTAGAGCAGTGATGTTTTAGGGCTGTCGCTGGGCAACACGGACTTTGGGGTTGAGATCTGGAGACTGGCTAGGCCACTCCAGGACCTTGAAATGCTTCTTACGAAGCCACTCCTTCGTTGCCCGGGCGGTGTGTTTGGGATCATTGTCATGCTGAAAGACCCAGCCACGTTTCATCTTCAATGCCCTTGCATATGGAAGGAGGTTTTCACTCAAAATCTCACGATACATGGCCCCATTCATTTTTTGCTTTACACGGATCAGTCGTCCTGGTCCCTTTGCAGAAAAACAGCCCCAAAGCATGATGTTTCCACCCCCATGCTTCACAGTAGGTATGGTGTTCTTTGGATGCAACTCAGCATTCTTTGTCCTCCAAACACGACGAGTTGAGTTTTTACCAAAAAGTTCTATTTTGGTTTCATCTGACCATATGACATTCTCCCAATCCTCTTCTGGATCATCCAAATGCACTCTAGCAAACTTCAGACGGGCCTGGACATGTACTGGCTTAAGCAGGGGGACACGTCTGGCACTGCAGGATTTGAGTCCCTGGCGGCGTAGTGTGTTACTGATGGTAGGCTTTGTTACTTTGGTCCCAGCTCTCTGCAGGTCATTCACTAGGTCCCCCCGTGTGGTTCTGGGATTTTTGCTCACCGTTCTTGTGATCATTTTGACTTCACAGGGTGAGATCTTGCGTGGAGCCCCAGATCGAGGGAGATTATCAGTGGTCTTGTATGTCTTCCATTTCCTAATAATTGCTCCCACAGTTGATTTCTTCAAACCAAGCTGCTTACCTATTGCAGATTCAGTCTTCCCAGCCCGGTGCAGGTCTACAATTTTGTTTCTGGTGTCCTTTGACAGCTCTTTGGTCTTGGCCATAGTGGAGTTTGGAGTGTGACTGTTTGAGGTTGTGGACAGGTGTCTTTTATACTGATAGCAAGTTCAAACAGGTGCCATTAATACAGGTAACGAGTGGAGGACAGAGGAGCCTCTTAAAGAAGAAGTTACAGGTCTGTGAGAGCCAGAAATCTTGCTTGTTTGTAGGTGACCAAATACTTATTTTCCACCATAATTTGCAAATAAATTCATAAAAAATCCTACAGTGTGATTTTCTGGATTTTTTTCTCTCAATGTGTCTGTCATAGTTGACGTGTACCTATGATGAAAATTACAGGCCTCTCTCATCTTTTTAAGTGGGAGAACTTGCACAATTGGTGGCTGACTAAATACTTTTTTCCCCCACTGTACAACATGTTTCCAGATATACAGCATGTTTCCAGATATACAGCATGTTTCCAGATATACAGCATGTCTCCAGATATACAGCATCTTTCCAGATATACAGCATGTTTCCAGATATACAGCATGTCTCCAGATATACAGCATGTTTCCAGATATACAGCATGTTTCCAGATATACAGCATGTGATGTATATTCTTAAATTAATTAGAAGATAGAACTGGGTTAATCACGAACATTGAGTTAGATTTGTTTGTTACTGGGCTAGGAATTTTATTGGGGCATTTCACTGTGTGTGTGGGTGAGTAGAGAAGAAACTACCCTAGGGTCAAAGTGCTTGCTCTTACTTCAATCCATGGCTGCCTTTTGTCTCTCTTCAAACATTGTGAAGGGAGCGACACCAGGGTTGGATGGAGTTTGGGCTAGACCTTGGTCTCCTTGGTATCTTCTTGATTGATTACAGCATGATGGGGGGGAAGGTTGTGTCAAGAATTTAGGGCCTTGTCATATTGAGACTGTGCAAGACAGGGGAGCAGTGATTGGATGGAGTAATAGTTCAGCCGTCCTCAGGGACAAAGGAAGTGGGCGGAGCAATAAAAGAGCGGGAAAACTGAAGAGGACTATATAAGTGGGAGAAAGATCTTAAGAAGGGGTGCTCCTCTGCAGACGAGTATCGTCTTTGTTAGAAACTTTAATAAAGTCATTTCTTGGTGCAACAAAAACTCTATAAGACCTTATTTGTAAATAAAGTATGGTGGTTATTTTCCACAACACATGTCTCCAGATATACAGCATGTTTCCATATATACAGCATGTTTCCAGATATACAGCATGTTTCCAGATATACAGCATGTTTCCAGATATACAGCATGTCTCCAGATATACAGCATGTTTCCAGATATACAGCATGTTTCCAGATATACAGCATGTTTCCAGATATACAGCATGTCTCCAGATATACAGCATGTCTCCAGATATACAGCATGTCTCCAGATATACAGCATGTTTCCAGATATACAACATGTTTCCAGATATACAGCATGTTTCCAGATATACAGCATGTTTCCAGATATACAGCATGTTTCCAGATATACAGCATGTTTCCATATATACAGCATGTTTCCAGATATACAGCATGTTTCCAGATATACAGCATGTTTCCAGATATACAGCATGTTTCCAGAAAGAGATCATCAAGTAAATTCACTCGTGTTCATTAAAAGGCACACGGATTTGCATATTTTGCTACCGAAAATGTGCAATTTCTTGTTGGACAAATTCACATAGTCCCTGCACCATTTTCAAAAACGCGTCGCCTTACTGAACAGGGCTCATCTCTCACCTGTTTGGGCCACCAGGTGTGTCCAGCCACTGCGTATGCGTTTAACCTTCTCTCCACCCAGTAGTGAGCGATCTAAGAGGACGGGTCTGGGTAGGAACAACTCTGTGCCAGTCAGCTGGCGGTGTTTATTACTGCCCCACATAAACACACCTCCTTCAGCTATAACACAAGACAAAACACTGACATTATCCAACTACTCTCCTAGCCAGGCAATACAATGAATGCAACCATTAAGATTTGTCATTGCGGAAACAATAAACCAACGACTGATTTTGGGAGAATGTAAAAAAACACAGGAAGTCCTGTTAAAGTGTTTTCTTCCTCCACAATCATAGTCCCAGTTGTAATGTGTAATAAAAGCTGTAGAAGGAGGTGTCACTCACCGGTGAGGCACACACAGTGGGCGGAGCCTGCGGCGACTCTGTGTGACATCACCTGATCCAGACCTGGGACCAGACATGGTATCCTGGAGGTGAAGTGTGCTGGGACAGGCTGTGGACTCAGAGCTCTCTTGGCCTGACCAGAGAGACCCATACCCCACTGGTACACACCACCTGTACCTGCAGACAGAACAACACAAAAAGACAAGAGATTACATTAAACTACAGTTTATTGTGCCTGATATCAAAGCATTGGTGTAGTCAGACGGCTGTAGCTGCCTGGAGTCTACAATAATGGAGGCTACAGCCACATCAGGGCTAAAAAGGAAACACTGACTAACTAAATAGCAGACAAAATATGGTGGCGACACGCCTCTCAGCGTGCCTGGAAGATATCTCAGCTTGGATGATGGCCCACCACCTCAAGCTCAACCTCGACAGGACGGAGCTGCTCTTCCTCCCGGGAAAGGCCTGCCCGCTCCCAAGACCTCTCTATCACCGTCGACAACTCCACGGTGTCCCCCCTCCCGGAGTGCAAATAACCTTGGCGTGACCCTGGAGAACACCCTGTCGTTCTCTGCAAACATCCAAACAGTGACTCGCTCCTGCAGGTTCGTCCTCTACAACATCCGTAGAGTACGACCCTACCTCACACAGGAAGCAGCGCAGGTCCAGCGCAAAATTCCCCGCTTGTGCCATCAAACCCCTGCAACTTATCCAGATCGCCGCAGCCCGTCTGGTGTTAAACCTTTCCAAGTTCTTCCATGTCACCACGCTCCTCCGTACACTCCACTGGCTTCCAGTCGAAGCTCGCTTCCATTACAAGACCATGGTACTTGCCTACGAACTTCCCCTCCCTACCTTCAGGCCCTGCTCAAACCCTACATCCCAACCCGCGCACTCCGTTCTGTCACCTGTGGTCTCTTGGCCGTCCCACCTCTACGGGCGGTCACCTCTGCCATCCAGGACCTCTATACCAGGCGGTGTCAGAGGAGGCCCCAAAAATTTTCAAAGACAGCAGCCATCCAAGTCATAGACTGTTCTCTCTGCTACCGCACGGCAACCGGTACCGTCTGGAACCAACAGGACCCTGAACAGCTTCTACCCCCAAGCCATAAGACTGCTAAACAAGACTGCTAAATAGCTACCTGGATCGCCTGCATTGACCCTTTTTTACACTAACTCTCTTGCACTGACTCTACGCACACACACTAGCACATACTTACACTGACATCCCAACACACACAACATACACCCACCCAAAATACACCCAACACACACAACATACACCCACACACACACACCCACACACACACAACATACACCCACACACACACAGAACATACACCCACACAACATACACCCACACAGAACATACACCCACACACACACAACATACACCCACACACACAGAACATACACCCACACACACACAACATACACCCACCCACACACACAACATACACCCACACACACAGAACAACATACACCCACACACACAACATACACCCACACACACACAACATACACCCCACCACACACACACAACATACACCCACACACACACACAACATACACCCACACACACACAACATACACCCACACACACACAACATACACCCACACACACCCACACACACACAACATACACCCACACACACAGAACACGAGCACACGTGAAAACAGACGCCACACACACACGCATGCTGCTGCTACTGTTTATTATCTATCCTGTTGCCTAGTCACTTTGTCCCTACCTATATGTACATATCTACCTCAATTACCTTGTACCCATCGACTCGGTACGGGTACTCCCTGTACATAGCCATGTTATTACCTGGTACTTCCTGTATATAGCCATGTTATTACCTGGTACTTCCTGTATATAGCCATGTTATTACCTGGTACTTCCTGTATATAGCCATGTTATTACATGGTACTTCCTGTATATAGCCATGTTATTACCTGGTACTTCCTGTATATAGCCATGTTATTACCTGGTACTCCCTGTATATAGCCATGTTATTACCTGGTACTCCCTGTATATAGCCATGTTATTACCTGGTACTTCCTGTATATAGCCATGTTATTACCTGGTACTTCCTGTATATAGCCATGTTATTACCTGGTACTTCCTGTATATAGCCATGTTATTACCTGGTACTTCCTGTATATAGCCATGTTATTACCTGGTACTTCTTGTATATAGCCATGTTATTACCTGGTACTTCCTGTATATAGTCATGTTATTACCTGGTACTCCCTGTATATAGCCATGTTATTACCTGGTACTTCCTGTATATAGTCATGTTATTACCACAGCGATAAGGACCAGAATGAGTCTAACAAAGGCATGTCTTACCAGTGACAGCTAGTGAGTGTCTGAGCCCTGCTGCAACACTGATCACAGGCTCCATCAGCATCTAGGGAGGACAATCCCATATTAGGCTATACACATCATCCCCTAAATCCCATATGAGGCTATACACATCATCCCCTAAATCCCATATTAGGCTATACACATCATCCCCTAAATCCCATATTAGGCTATACACATCATCCCCTAAATCCCATATTAGGCTATACACATTATCCACTAAATCCCATATGAGGCTATACACATCATCCCCTAAATCACATATTAGGCTATACACATCATCCCCTAAATCCCATATGAGGCTATACACATCATCCCCTAAATCCCATATGAGGCTATACACATCATCCACTAAATCCCATATTAGGCTATACACATCATCCACTAAATCCCATATGAGGCTATACACATCATCCCCTAAATCCCATATTAGGCTATACACATCATCCACTAAATTCCATATGAGGCTATACACATCATCCACTAAATCCCATATGAGGCTATACACATCATCCACTAAATCCCATATTAGGCTATACACATCATCCCCTAAATCCCATATGAGGCTATACACATCATCCACTAAATCCCATATGAGGCTATACACATCATCCCCTAAATCCCATATTAGGCTATACACATCATCCACTAAATCCCATATGAGGCTATACACATCATCCCCTAAATCCCATATGAGGCTATACACATCATCCACTAAATCCCATATGAGGCTATACACATCATCCACTAAATCCCATATTAGGCTATACACATCATCCACTAAATCCCATATGAGGCTATACACATCATCCCCTAAATCCCATATTAGGCTATACACATCATCCACTAAATCCCATATGAGGCTATACACATCATCCACTAAATCCCATATGAGGCTATACACATCATCCACTAAATCCCATATTAGGCTATACACATCATCCCCTAAATCCCATATGAGGCTATACACATCATCCACTAAATCCCATATGAGGCTATACACATCATCCCCTAAATCCCATATTAGGCTATACACATCATCCACTAAATCCCATATGAGGCTATACACATCATCCCCTAAATCCCATATGAGGCTATACACATCATCCACTAAATCCCATATTAGGCTATACACATCATCCACTAAATCCCATATGAGGCTATACACATCATCCCCTAAATCCCATATGAGGCTATACACATCATCCACTAAATCCCATATTAGGCTATACACATCATCCCCTAAATCCCATATGAGGCTATACACATCATCCACTAAATCCCATATTAGGCTATACACATCATCCACTAAATCCCATATGAGGCTATACACATCATCCACTAAATCCCATATTAGGCTATACACATCATCCACTAAATCCCATATGAGGCTATACACATCATCCCCTAAATCCCATATGAGGCTATACACAACCTACTAAAACCAACATCCCCTAAATCCCATCCAACACTTACACAGATATGTAAAAAAAAAAAAAAAAAAAGATAACATGACAATAGGTAACCCCTACTCCTATTTGCTACCTTAATGGTCAGCAGCTGTGCAGAGTGTGTGACGTGCTCTGAGACTCCCAGCTGGCCGTATGCATTAGATCCACATGTCAGGACCTGGCCACGATCTGAGAGAGAGAGGAAACTGACTTTACAAACTACAAGCAGAACAGCAAAAAAGCTTGAACCTTTTCAGTACAGTCTACCGATATATGAAATAAATAAAATAATGTGTCACTATCACTTCTAAACGAGTTATGGACTTCCTGTATTACAACACCTAGATACCTCTCAGCGCCTAGAGACCTCTCAGCACCTAGAGACCTCTCAGCACCTAGAGACCTCTCAGCACCTAGAGACCTCTCAACACCTAGAGACCTCTCAACACCTAGAGACCTCTCAACACCTAGAGACCTCTCAACACCTAGAGACCTCTCAACACCTAGAGACCTCTCAGCACCTAGAGACCTCTCAGCACCTAGAGACCTCTCAGCACCTAGAGACCTCTCAGCACCTAGAGACCTCTCAGCACCTAGAGACCTCTCAGCACCTAGAGACCTCACAACACCTAGAGACCTCTCAACACCTAGAGACCTCTCAACACCTAGAGACCTCAACACCTAGAGACTTCCTTCAACACCTAGAGACTTACATCAACACCTAGAGACCTCTCAGCACCTAGAGACTTCAACACCTAGAGACTTCAACACCTAGAGACTTCAACACCTAGAGACTTCAACACCTAGAGACTTCAACACCTAGAGACTTCAACACCTAGATACTTAACACCTAGAGATTTCCTTCAACACCTAGAGACTTCCTTCAACACCTAGAGACTTCCTTCAACAACTAGAGACCTCTCAGCACCTAGAGACCTCTCAGCACCTAGAGACCTCTCAGCACCTAGAGACCTCTCAGCACCTAGAGACCTCTCAGCACCTAGAGACCTCTCAGCACCTAGAGACCTCTCAGCACCTAGAGACCTCTCAGCACCTAGAGACCTCTCAGCACCTAGAGACCTCTCAGCACCTAGAGACCTCTCAGCACCTAGAGACGTCACAACACCTAGAGACCACACAACACCTAGAGACCTCTCAACACCTAGAGACCTCACAACACCTAGATACTTCAACACCTAGAGACCTCTCAATACCTAGAGACCTCAATACCTAGATACTTCAACACCTAGAGACTTCCTTCAACACCTAGAGACTTCCTTCAACACCTAGAGACTTCCTTCAACACCTAGAGACTTACATCAACACCTAGAGACTTACATCAACACCTAGAGACCTCTCAACACCTAGAGACTTCAACACCTAGAGACTTCAACACCTAGAGACTTCAACACCTAGAGACTTCAACACCTAGAGACTTCAACACCTAGATACTTCAACACCTAGAGATTTCCTTCAACACCTAGAGACTTCCTTCAACACCTAGAGACTTCCTTCAACACCTAGAGACTTCCTTCAACACCTAGAGACTTCCTTCAACACCTAGAGACCGCACAACACCTAGAGACCTCACAACACCTAGAGACCTCACAACACCTAGAGACTTCAACAACTAGAGACTTCCTTCAACACCTAGAGACTTTCTTCAACACCTAGAGACTTCCTTCAACACCTAGAGACTTTCTTCAACACCTAGAGACTTCCTTCAACACCTAGAGACTTCCTTCAACACCTAGATACTTCCTTCAACACCTAGAGACCTCTCAGCACCTAGAGACCTCTCAGCACCTAGAGACCTCTCAGCACCTAGAGACCTCTCAGCACCTAGAGACCTCTCAACACCTAGAGACCTCTCAACACCTAGAGACCTCTCAACACCTAGAGACCTCTCAACACCTAGAGACCTCTCAACACCTAGAGACCTCTCAGCACCTAGAGACCTCGTCAAGAGATTCAGATCTCTTGATGTAATGGCTTGGTAAAGGTGTGGGATTAACAGTCCCAGGGATCCAGGTTCAGGTCCGAGTTGTGACTACCCTGAATTCTCTACTGTACATTCTCTTCCACTCACCAGTGAGGACGAGTGTGAAGTCCCAGCCACAGGACACGTGTGCAGCCCTCTGACCAATGAGAGGACAGAGTTGAAAGGTAGTGACCTCGGAACTGTGACCCAGTCCCAGCTGACCTTTGTGATTCTGACCACACACCAGCAGCTCCCCTTCCTCTGGAGAAAGAAGGAGGAAGAGGAGAAGGAGGAGGAGAAAAAGGAGGAGAAGTAGTTAGCTAGTTAAATGTATACCAAATCAAATCAAATTGTATTGGTCACATGCGCCGAATACAACAGGTGCAGACATTACAGTGAAATGCTTACTTACAGCCCTTAACCAACAGTGCATTTATTTTAAAAATAAAACAACAACAAAAAAAAGTGTTGAGAAAAAAAAGAGCAGAAGTAAAATAAAGTGACAGTAGGGAGGCTATATATACAGGGGGGTACCGTTGCAGAGTCAATGTGCGGGGGCACCGGCTAGTTGAGGTAGTTGAGGTAATATGTACATGTGGGTAGAGTTAAAGTGACTATGCATAAATAATTAATAGAGTAGCAGCAGCGTAAAAAGGATGGGTGCAAATAGTTTGCAGTGCAAATAGTCCGGGTAGCCATGATTAGCTGTTCAGGAGTCTTATGGCTTAGGGGTAGAAGCTGTTGAGAAGTCTTTTGGACCTAGACTTGGCACTCTGGTACCGCTTGCCGTGCGGTAGCAGAGAGAACAGTCTATGACTAGGGTGGCTGGAGTCTCTGCATAAGCAGAAAACAGTTATTTACAGAGCTGTATTGACTTTATACAACAAAAGGAGACGCCAAACACATATGTCCAGGAGAGGGAGACATAGTATACACTTTGGAGATACGATTTAGATTACTTCTTTCATTACAACAGAATGCTCTCCCCGAGCACAGTCAGTGCTATCCGGGATCATTGGGACGTCCACACCCTAACCTTAACCCTTACCTAACCATTTTCAACTAAAATTGGACGGGTGTGGACGTACCAAGGATCCCGTAGAGCACAGATGCAATGACAAATGGCCACACTCACCAGACACAACAGCCGAATGCCCACCGCCTCCGCTGAGTAGCCGCACCGCCCCGGTCTGTAGCGTATTTAGGGCGAGTTTGGCCACTGACAGGTCTTCCACATTCCCCAGTCCCAACTGGCCGTAGCTGTTTGCTCCCTGCAATGTTTCATTGATTAGGTATTGATGACAGTGTTTTTGAGACGCAGTTCCCACTTAAATCAGTAGATTGTGTTCATATACGTAGCTTGTCAAAACAATGAATCTATCAGTACTACTACTGTCACTGCCGAGTAGGTTATAGAAGCTTTATTGACAAGCTTGCTCGCTAACGTTAGCTGTGGCTAACATATGTTTTGCTATCCAGACAGAGCTCATCTGTATGTGCTTGACAGATGTACAGCAACGAACTGGAAGTTATTAGCTAGTTAACGTCATGTCACGATATCGACATTTTGTTGAGAATGAAACTTACCCACGTGTAGACACATAATTCTGGAAGCAAGTTTGTATCCATGCGACACAAAATAAATGCGATGTACGACAATAAACCTTCCTGCCGTAAAGTAGTTGTTTGTATGTCAGTAGTTTTCCGCCCTGTTGAGTGTGGACAAAGTGAGGTGTGGCGCAAGTCTAAACTATTCTATTCCATTCCATTCTATATTCTAGTCATCGATCATTTAAAAATATGCCATGTTCAGCAAAGACTCGATTTCATTCTACATGTGTATAAACGTTTTGCTTTTCCTTCAGTGAAAATCAGTGTCAACATGCCTACAATTCTAGAGAACTCCATTATCCATGTCGGTTTGAAAACGATGTCGGTGGTTGAAAATGTATTGGTCGCGGGTTGCGGGTTTTTGGGCTACTTCTAAATTGCATCGCAGCCGCCATGACGTTTCTCTTAAAAACAAAAACAGATAAACAAACAAACAAAAATATCACGGAGCACGCGCGCGCACTTCGTGACAAGTTTTTTACCAGTTGTAGGCTATTTAGATTGTCATTATGTAGACACCTTCAGTACATTCGGAAAGTATTCATACCTCTTGACTTTTTCAACATTTTGTTATGTTACAGCCTTATTCTAAAACAGATGAAATAAAATAAAAAATCCTCAGCAATCTACACACAATACCCCATAATGACAAAGCGAAAACAGATTTGTATACATTTTTGCAAATTTATAAAAAATACAAAACAGAAAAACCTTATTTACATAAGTATTCAGACCCTTTGCTATGAGACTCGAAATTCAGCTCAGGTGTGTCCTGTTTCCATTGATCATCCTTGAGATGTTTCTACAACTTGATTTGAGTCCACCAGTGGTAAATTCAATTGATTGGACATGATTTGGAAAGTCACAGACCTGCTTATATAAGGTCCCACAGTTGACAGTGCTTGTCAGAGCAAAAACCATGCCCTGAGGTCGAAGGAATTGTCTGTAGAGCTCAGAGACAGGGTTGAAGCGAGGCAAAGATCTGGGGAAGGGCACCAAAACATTTATGCAGCATTGAAGGTCCCCAAGAACACAGTGGCCTCCATCATTCTTAAATGGAAGACGTTTGGAACCACCAAGACTCTTCCTAAAGCTGGCCACCTGGCCAAACTGAGCAATGGGGGAGAAGGGCCTTGGTCAGGGAGGTGACCAAGATCCAGATGGTCACTCTGACAGAGCTCCAGAGTTCCTCTGTGGAGATGGGAGAACCTTCCAGAAGGAAAACCAAAGCCAGACTGAAGCCACTCCTCAGTAAAAGGCACATGACAGCCCGCTTGGAGTTTGCCAAAAGGCACCTAAAGGACTCAGACGATGAGAAACAAGATTCTCTGGTCTGATGAAACCAAGATTGAACTCTTTGGCCTGAATGCCAAGCGTCACGTCTGGAGGAAACCTGACACCATCCCTACGGTGAAGCATGGTGGTGGCAGCATTATGCTGTGGGGATGTTTTTCAGCGGCAGGGACTGGGAGACTAGTCAGGATCGAGGGAAAGATGAACGGAGCAAAGTACAGAGAGATCCTTTGTGAAAACCTGCTCCAGAGCGCTCAGGACCTCAGACCGGGGCGAAGGTTCACCTTCCAACAGGACAACGACCCTAAGCACACAGCCAAGACAACACAGGAGTGGCTTCGGGACAAGTCTCTGAATGTCCTTGAGTGGCCCAGCCAGAGCCCGGACTTGAACTTGATCAAACATCTCTGGAGAGACCTGAAAATAGCTGTGCAGCGACGCTCCCCATCCAACCAGACAGAGCTTGAGGCTCTGCAGAGAAGAATGGGAGAATCTCCCCAAATACAGGTGTGCCAAGCTTGTAGCATCATACCCAAGAAGACTCGAGGCTGTAATCACTGCCAAAGGTGCTTCAAAAAAGTACTGAGTAAAGGGTCTGAATACTTATGTAAATGTGATATTTCAGTTTATTATTTTTAATAAATTTGCAAAAAATTCTTAAAAACCAGTTTTTGCTTTGTTATTATAGGGTATCGTGTGTAGATTGATGAGGAGAGAAAAAAAACAATTTAATCCATTTTAGAATAAGGCTATAATGTATCAAAATGTGTAAAAAGTTAAGGGGTCTGAATACTTTCCGAATGCAATGTATTTCCAACCCTTTTTCCATAAAACATATTAACGCACTAGAACTGATATAACGGCGACAAAGCATATCCAGAGCAACTTACAGTAGTGAGTGCAGACATTTTCATATTTGTTCGTACTGGTTCCCCCGTGGGAATCGAACCCACAACCCTGCCGTTGCAAGTGCCACGCTCTACCAACTGAGAAATGGAAGTTATGGAACTCCCTTGCGTGCGTCTGTTATTGGAAAAAGTCCACAATGAAACATTAAATGTGGAGAATGATACTTTTGCATCTGTTGGCCATCAAGTAGGCTATTCATTTATATGCCATTGTAGGCTACTGTAGCATACCATTTGATACGATCAATAATTTTGAAATATCACTGGAGTCATTGCAAAATCGATTAGTGCCACTTGTGTAGCCTACCTGGAGCTGGCAAACTGATTTAATAAGTAGCCTATAACTTCAGTTTGTTGTCGTTGTAGACTTGTGTTATTATGCAATTATTAATGGACATTTTTAGTTAATTAAATAGGACGTTATCAATTGTGACCATGGTTACAGCTCTATCACAAGTGTATCATTCTCCACATTTAATGTCAGTTTCATTGTGGACTTTTCCCTGAAATGAGATGTTGACCTATCAGGGGCTATAGGCTAGCTGCATCTAGCTCAGCAAACCATGGGAAAATGGAATTGCAATCATAACCCCAGATTTTAGTCTGTAGCCTATACCGATTGAAATAACAAGTCAATCTCGCAAATGAGCCATTTATAACGGTTTGTAGTCTTAACATCCGGCACATAATAACCGCACAATTGCCAGAAAATAGCCCAACGTTCGTTTAAAAAAAAAAGTTCATCCAAGTGTTTGTTGCTCAGAGATTGAGATCCTCTGTCCAACTTTGATCACTCAAACTCTCCTGGCAGATTTATCTATAGTTATGCGCAAACGGGATTTATTAACAATTATAAACTGGATGGTTGGAGCCCTGAATGCTGATTGGTTGAAAGCTGTGGTATATCGGACCATAGGTATGACACAATTTTACTTTTTACTGTTCTAATTACGTTGGTAACCAGTTTATAATAGCAATAAGGCACCTCGGGGGTTTGTGGTATATGGCCAATATACCACGGCTAACGGCTGTATATTGGCCATATACAACACCTCCTCGGGCCTTATTGCTTAATCATAGCAGTCAAAACAAGTTAAATCGACACCCATTGATGGAAGATTATCTGGCAGATTTAATAAGGGCGAATTATATATATTTTCTCTTGCGACATATTCTTAAACTGACAAGAATGATTATTTTGATGAAAAAATGAATTTAGATTCTTAGCCTACATCTTCACAAATTACGTAGATATTCCTTCTTAATTCGCTTGATAACGTTATGGAAAAAGGGTTTATTGGATAAATCTGGCAACTATTCTCTTGCTACGGGAAACATTTTTGGGCTAGTTTTCAGGCCTTGTGGGGAGGTTTGAGGAGTCATAGGGCTAGACATTTTAGCTAGACCTGGCAACCCTGGCATTTTCCCATATCCCCATCATTTCATAATGCAAAAGGCATATTCTCTTCAGGAAACGTTTATTGTTAAAATGTCAAACTAAATACATTATCCATACATAAGACACACACACACATTTTTATTTAATCACTTATACATAATCAGTTTACATTTCTTTACAGTAGAAAAATAATGATATTTATTTTCGTGAGTATATGTACTACAGTTACATTTAAAATATTTTTTTTTATGATTTAGAACTGGATAATGACAAAGCTAAATATTTTTTGAATATGAACCAATTCTGTCAAAATCATCCTTGAATACATTCACACTTTTTGAATAATAACATTAAAACTTACACTATTAAGCTCATCCCAGCAACAACCTTACACACAACAATCGGAGGAATATATTGGACACCATAGTGTATTAGTAAGTTACTGTATCTTCGATTACGTTGAATGGAGGAGAGAAGGGAAGAGAGGTCGACCACGAGCAGAGTATTTCTTTACATAAGAAATGTGTGAGTAAGATATGACTAAAATTTCACACCCTCAGTTAAACTAATAATGTACGACTAATTAGAAAACTAGGAATTATTCAAAGCTTGAGAAGTAGTTGACTTCAACCGTTGCGATAACAAAATTCTCGTGACAAGATGTCACGATAGTTTGGTATGCTTGAGGGATATGGCTTTGGGAGGCCCAGATTTGTTCTGTTGGGGCTGTCTTGCCAGTTATCATCTCCTATGTATAATAATAATAATAGGCCATTTAGCAGACGCTTTTATCCAAAGCGATTTACAGTCATGTGTGCATAATTTTTTTTTAAATGTATGGGTGGTCCCGGGGATCGAACCCACTACCCTGGCGTTACAAGCGCCGATGCTCTACCAATTGAGCTACAGTAATTGTTTGGTGTGACAATGACCATGGAAGTTGGCAAAGACAGCACAAACAGATCTGACCGTTGGATAATAATTAGATAGCGGAACACGGGGTGGCGTGTGTCTAGGTCGCCACAGACACTCAGATAATGGCGTTGAGGTCATCAGAGACCCGTGTCCCAAATGGCACCCTATTCCTTATATATAGTGCACTACTTTTGACCAGGGCCTGTAGGCAGGGTATAGGGTGCCATTTGGGAGTCTGTGACTCATAGGGCTTTAGGTTGTCACTCAGACTCCCAGGTGTTTGTTAAGCCGGCTGAGGGCGTCGCCCACAATGTCCAGCTCATGTCTCAGCTCCTCCACCACGCTGTTGATACTGGGAGTGTCCTTTAGAACGTCCACACTCTGAGTATACGGGTTGTAGCGCACCGTGAACGGACGCTTGATCGTCTTGGCAAACTCCCTGGAGGGATGGCAAGAATGAGTTATTATGCATATCTAGATGATACGATCTAGAAGCTATGAAAGTAATGGTAGCAGTAAGAGAGAGAGAGAGAGAGAGAGAGAGAGAGAGAGAGAGAGAGAGAGAGAGAGAGAGAGAGAGAGAGAGAGAGAGATACTGTGTCTGTGTGTGTGTCTGAATGTGTGTGTGTGTGTGTGTATGTGTGTGTGTGTGTGTTTGTGTGCGTGTGTGTGTCTGTGTGTGTGTGTCTGTGTGTGTGTGTGTGTCTGTCTGTGTGTGTGTGTGTGTCTGTGTGTGTGTGTGTGTGTGTGTGTCTGTGTGTCTGTGTGTGTGTGTGTGTGTGTGTGTCTGTGTGTGTGTGTGTGTGTGTGTGTCTGTGTGTGTGTGTGTGTGTGTGTGTGCGTGTGCGTCTGTGTGTGTGTGTGTGTGTGTGTAGAAGGAGATAGTAAAGAACAGCTCATCTAAAAGCCTTTACACGTCACCACAGTGATGCTAGCAGTCAGTAACAGAGCGTGTATCAATCCAGTGACACTTTTATTTGAAGGGTACCTACACAAGGACATTATAACACATTCATGACCCATACATAACCCATTCATAAGCAGTACATACGAATGTATCAATGTGTTATGAAGTCCATATGAAGGTAATCTACATTTAAATAATGTGTTACTATACAGTAAGATTCCAGATGCCCTTTGACCCCAAGGTCATCTCACCTCATCTTGACTTTGGCCTCCTCAAAGCTGTCGGACACAAAGTAGATGTCCTGAAATGTTGTGATGATGCACTCCTGTTTACATGTGACCTTGGGGTCAAAAGGCTTGATGACGGCGTTACCAGACAAAGCATGCTGTGGGGAGGAAGAACAAAACATTTGGTCCAGTTTCCCAGGACCAGATTAAGACTAATCTTGGACTAAACAGCATTCTCCCCTAAATAACTTTGTTTCTAATATAATATTACCTTTAGTTTCTAATATAATACCTTTTGTTTATAATGTAGCGACCTTAAGCGAACACCTAGTCCTTGTCAAGAGATTTGGACCTCTTGGCGTAACGGTAAAGGCGTTGGCTTGACAGTTGCTGGACCCATGTTCGAGTCCCGGTCGGGGCTACCCCCCCCCCCCCCCCCCCCCCCCCCCCCCCCCCGAATTCGTTACAATAATATTTATATACCTTGAGTTCACTGATGGAAGACAGAAGGCCTGCTCCGTACGCTCTCAGCTTCCCCTCCTGTTTACACAGGCCAAACTCCACCGTGAAGAAATAACACTGGAACACAACAGCGCATGCAAGAGTCAGTAATGCCAAACGAAATGTGAACTGCTGATCCATTCCCCTCTCTAGGTTCTGCCATGGTCCCAGATCTGTTTGTGCCGTCGTGCCGACTCCGATGGTCATTGTCACACCAAGACAGAACAAACAAATGTAGGACCAGGCTAACAAGGTTTTAGGGTTGGTGACTAAGTTAATCTCTTAGTAATATATATATATATAAACATTACTCTATAATAAAAAGTAATGTTACAAGACATCAGTGGTGTAAAGTACTTAAGTAAAAATACTTTCAAGTACTACTTAAGTCGTTTTATTGGGGTATCTGTACTTTACTATTTCAATTTTTACTCCATACATTTTCCCTGACACCCAAAACTACTTGTTACATTTTGAATGTCATTTTCTATTAAGGTATCTTTACTTTTACTCAAGAATGACGATTGGGTACTTTTTTCCACCACTGATCAGGGTACTTTTTGTTACAGAGTCTACAAGGTTCAGTGTTGGCGCTAAAACTGATCTCATGCACCAGTCAGAAAATTTTTTAACTGATTTCCACTTTCATATTAACTTTGATATGTTCAGGATGTTAGTGTTAGACAGTATATTTGATATGTTCAGAGTTAGTACAGGATGACTACTCACGGTGGCCAGGGTCTGTATGGATTCATCTGAAGCTCCGAGGGAAGCCAGGCCTATCTCCTGGGAGAACTGGGCGAAGCTGGGCTCAGCCAGCAACGGGACGTGACCCAGCAACTCATGGCACGTGTCTCTGTGTGACCGGAAACAAGAAACACTGAGTTATACAGCCCTTTATCTACTTTGCTTATACACTGAATGTATGTAGTATGTAATGTATGCACTGTAGTATGTAATCTCAGAACCATAAATAAACAACACAGAATAAATCAAGTAGCTAGCTAACTACAGTGAGGGAAAAAAGTATTTGATCCATTGCTGATTTTGTACGTTTGCCCACTGACAAAGACATGATCAGTCTATAATTTTAATGGTAGGTTTATTTGAACAGTGAGAGACAGAATAACAACAAAAAAATCCAGAAAAACGCATGTCAAAAATGTTATTAATTGATTTGCATTTTAATGAGGGAAATATTTGACCCCCTCTCAATCAGAAAGATTTCTGGCTCCCAGGTGTCTTTTATACAGGTAACGAGCTGAGATTAGGAGCACACTCTTAAAGGGAGTGCTCCTAATCTCAGTTTGTTACCTGTATAAAAGACACCTGTCCACAGAAGCAATCAATCAATCAGATTCCAAACTCTCCACCATGGCCAAGACCAAAGAGGTCTCCAAGGATGTCAGGGACAAGATTGTAGACCTACACAAGGCTGGAATGGGCTACAAGACCATCGCCAAGCAGCTTGGTGAGAAGGTGACAACAGTTGGTGCGATTATTTGCAAATGGAAGAAACACAAAAGAACTGTCAAACTCCTTCGGCCTGGGGCTCCATGCAAAATCTCACCTCGTGGAGTTGCAATGATCATGAGAACGGTGAGGAATCAGCCCAGAACTACACGGGAGGATCTTGTCAATGATCTCAAGGTAGCTGGGACCATAGTCACCAAGAAAACAATTGGTAACACACTACGCCGTGAAGGACTGAAATCCTGCAGCGCCCGCAAGGTCCCCCTGCTCAAGAAAGCACATATACATGCCCGTCTGAAGTTTGCCAATGAACATCTGAATGATTCAGAGGAGAACTGGGTGAAAGTGTTGTGGTCAGATGAGACCAAAATTGAGCTCTTTGGCATCAACTCAACTCGCCGTGTTTGGAGGAGGAGGAATGCTGCCTATGACCCCAAGATCACCATCCCCACCGTCAAACATGGAGGTGGAAACATTATGCTTTGGGGGTGTATTTCTGCTAAGGGGACAGGACAACTTCACCGCATCAAAGGGACGATGGACGGGGCCATGTACCGTCAAGTCTTGGGTGAGAACCTCCTTCCCTCAGCTAGGGCATTGAAAATGGGTCGTGGTTGGGTATTCCAGCATGACAATGACCCAAAACACACAGCCAAGGCAACAAAGGAGTGGCTCAAGAAGAAGCACATTAAGGTCCTGGAGTGGCCTAGCCAGTCTCCAGACCTTAATCCCATAGAAAATCTGTGGAGGGAGCTGAAGGTTCGAGTTGCCAAACGTCAGCCTCGAAACCTTAATGACTTGGAGAAGATCTGCAAAGAGGAGTGGAACAAAATCCCTCCTGAGATGTGTGCAAACCTGGTGGCCAACTACAAGAAACGTCTGACCTCTGTGATTGCCAACAAGGGTTTTGCCACCAAGTACTAAGTCATGTTTTGCAGAGGGGTCAAATACTTATTTCCCTCATTAAAATGCAAATCAATTTATAACATTTTTGACATGAGTTTTTCTTGATTTTTGTTGTTGTTATTCTGTCTCTCACTGTTAAAATAAACCTACCATTAAAATTATAGACTGATCATTTCTTTGTCAGTGGGCAAACGTACAAAATCAGCAGGGGATCAAATACTTTTTTCCCTCACTGTAGCTCATGACGAGATTTGGTTCAGGCTTATGAGATTATACCCTACAGTTGGCCGGAGTCTTTCAGGTAATTCAGAATGTTGGTTAAGAGCCCTTTACTGAGGAATGTGGTTGTGTTTCAGGTCATTCAGAATGTTGGTTAAGGACCCTTTACTGAGGAATGTGGTTGTGTTTCAGGTCATTCAGAATGTTGGTTAAGGACCCTTTACTGAGGAATGTGGTTGTGTTTCAGGTCATTCAGAATGTTGGTTAAGGACCCTTTACTGAGGAATGTGGTTGTGTTTCAGGTCATTCAGAATGTTGGTTAAGGACCCTTTACTGAGGAATGTGGTTGTATTTCAGGTCATTCAGAATGTTGGTTAAGGACCCTTTACTGAGGAATGTGGTTGTGTTTCAGGTCATTCAGAATGTTGGTTAAGGGCCCTTTACTGAGGAATGTGGTTGTGTTTCAGGTCATTCAGAATGTTGGTTAAGGACCCTTTACTGAGGAATGTGGTTGTGTTTCAGGTCATTCAGAATGTTGGTTAAGGGCCCTTTACTGAGGAATGTGGTTGTGTTTCAGGTCATTCAGAATGTTGGTTAAGGACCCTTTACTGAGGAATGTGGTTGTGTTTCAGGTCATTCAGAATGTTGGTTAAGGACCCTTTACTGAGGAATGTGGTTGTGTTTCAGGTCATTCAGAATGTTGGTTAAGGGCCCTTAGTGCAGGACTCCTTTGTAATAGAGACCTTGGTCTCAATGGGACTCCCTGCTAAAATAAAGGTAAAATAAATGTGGTATGGGGGTACTTACGGCTCTGGTGTGTAGAGGGGGTCGGAGCTGTGTCGGACGTACTGGGTACAGTGGAACACGCGGAAGGCCAGACCAGCCAGGAAGTCTCTGGGGGAGAGGTAACCTGCCACAGGCCGGATGGTGAAGCCTGTCCGCTCTGAAAAATTATAGGATTCAAGAAAATGTCACATACTGGACCCAAACTGTGTGCAACATGTCAGCAACAGAGAGATGTTCCTGATCAATCTTACAAAATATGATATAAATATTGGTTAAATATTGGTTACATTTATTTTACCATTAAATAATGTTTACATATCTTGCATTCCCCATCTCATATGTATATACTGTATTCTATACTATCTTAATGTTTAAATATCTTGCATTACCCATCTCATATGTATCTACTGTATTCTATACTATCTATTGCATCTTAGCCTATGCCACTCTGATAATGACATTGCTCATCCATATATTTATATATTCTTATTCCATTCCTTTAGTTAGATTTGTGTGTATTAGATATTTGTTGTGGAACTGTTAGATATTACTTGCTAGATATTGCTGCACTGTCGGAACTAGAAGCACAAGCATTTCGCTACACTCACAATAACATCTGCTAACCATGTGTATGTGACCAATACATTTGATTTGATAAAGTATTTTTTATCTAGTATCCAACACTCTCTCACTCTGTCTGTATGTCTCTCTGTCTCTGTCTCACTGTCTCACTGTCTCACTGTCTCTCTGTCTCTCTGTCTCTGTCTCTCTGTCTCTGTCTGCATGTCTCTGTCTGTATGTCTCTGTCTCTCTGTCTCTGTCTCACTGTCTCTCTGTCTCTGTCTCTCTGTATGTCTGTCTCTCTGTATGTCTCTGTCTGTATGTCTCTGTCTGTCTGTCTGTCTGTCTGTATGTCTGTCTGTCTCTCTATCTCTGTCTGTATGTCTCTCTGTCTGTATGTCTCTCCGTCTCTGTCTCTCTGTCTGTATGTCTCTGTCTCTCTGTCTCTGTCTGTATGTCTCTGTCTCTGTCTGTATGTCTCTGTCTGTCTGTCTGTCTCTCTGTCTCTCTGTCTGTATGTCTCTCTGTCTGTATGTCTCTGTCTGTATGTCTGTCTCTCTGTCTCTCTGTCTGTATGTCTCTCTGTCTGTATGTCTCTGTCTGTATGTGTCTCCGTCTCTCCGTCTCTGTCTCTCTGTCTGTATGTCTCTGTCTCTCTGTCTCTGTCTGTATGTCTCTTGTCTGTCTGTCTCTCTGTCTCTGTCTGTATGTCTCTCTGTCTGTATGTCTCTGTCTGTATGTCTCTGTCTGTATGTCTCTCCGTCTCTGTCTCTCTGTCTGTATGTCTCTGTCTCTCTGTCTCTCCGTCTCTGTCTCTCACACACACACACACACACACACACACAGTATATACACAAACGACTCCCAAACGACTCCCAAACGACTCCCAAACGACTCCCAGACACACACAACCCGCACCTCCTCCCATCTCACCTCTAAGGAAGCGTGATACGTCCTCTAGCTGTGGTATGTTATCCTCTCTACATTCACAGTGTTTGGCCAGTAGGGGCAGGTTCTTCAGGTACTCTCTACAGGCGTGGGTGGGGTACAGCTTGTTGAGCTCCCGGTACACCACCCCCCACGTTGCCAACTCCTCCTCTGTAAACTCTATACGAGGGATAGGGTCCCCACTGGTAGATAAGGACAAGACAATGGCTGTTAATAGAATATAGTAGAGTACAGTAGAATAGAGTAGAGTACAGTAGAATAGAGTACAGTATAATATAGTAGAGTACAGTAGAATATAGTACAGTTGAATCGAGTACAGTAGAGTACAGTATAATAGAGTAGAGTAGAGTACAGTAGAATATAGTAGAGTACAGTAGAATATAATATAGTAGAGTACAGTACAGTAGCGTATAATAGAACAGAGTAGAGTACAGTAGAATATAGTACAGTAGAGTACAGTAGAATAGAGTAGAGTACAGTAGAATATAGTAGAGTAGAGTGAAGTAGAATAGAGTAGAGTACAGTAGAATATAGTAGAGTGGAGTAGAGTACAGTAGAATATAATACAGTAGAGTACAGTAGAATTCAGTAGAGTACAGTACAGTATAATATGAGTACAGTAGAATATAGTAGAGTACAGTAGAATATAGTAGAGTGGAGTAGAGTACAGTACAGCACAGTAAAATAGAATACAGTAGAGTACAGTAGAACATAGTAGAGTACAGTACAGTAGAATATAGTACAGTAGAGTACAGTAGAATATAGTAGAGTAGAGTACAGTAGAATATAGTAGAGTACAGTATAATAGAATAGGAGGAAACTTGATATGGGATATATTCTTCGATTAAAATTACCTTTTTTCCTGGAAAATATGTTAGTTCAACCATAATGTACTTACTATCTGTAGTTCATGGCGAGATCAGCAAAATGCTTTCTCCTTCTTCTGTAGACGTTGTCCTTGAACCCCTGTGATAAGAGGGAGATATAACATTGTTATAACAAGATAAAGTAATACATAAACATTATAAAGTAATGCCTAGTTTCTATGTTATAATTATAGTACATACCGGATGGTCGGCGTCCAGGTCTGATCCGTACATTAGAACACGGTTGGCACACTTGTCCAGATCTGAGATCTTCTTGGGGAACCAGGGGGCATTTTCTATATCTGAAATATAAATAATTAGTTTTCACTTAATTAGGTCCATCATGTGATTGTAAAGATTGTAATATACTCTGTGGGCCTAAGTGTGTATACTTTAAATATATATAATATATTAATAATATTATATATAATATTATATATAATATATATATAAGCGTGCATACTGCGCAATATAAACTTTACTCAATATACTGTGGTAGAATATACTCTAACAAAACGTAGAAATCAATAATCAATAATCAACCATTTTGTCTACTGTGGAATACCTTCTTCAGGTAAACAGGAGTTGTCAGGTTGGTCCATATCCACTATGTTCACGTGCTTACGTAGCAGCTGAATGATCTCGTTGAGCTGCTCGTGATCGCTGTCACAGTCCACGAAGATCTCGAATTCAGAGTTACGCCTTTTCGATTTTCTGGATTCTATGTGGACAAGGTTGACGTGGTTTTCCTGTAAGGAATGGCATATAAAAAATAGTTGTTTTTTTGGTTACATCTATAATATAATTCGCTTAATCTATAATCTGCTGCTACATTTATAATTTACACTACCGGTCAAACGTTTTAGAACACCTACTCATTCAAGGGTTGTTCTTTATTTTTACTATTTTCTACATTGTTGAATAATAGTGAAGACATCAAAACAATGAAATAACACATATGGAATCCTGTTGTAACCAAAATAGTGTTAAACGAAACAAAATATATTTTATATTTGAGATTCTTCAAATAGCCACCCTTTGCCTTGATGACAGCTAATTTGTGGAATTTATTTCCTTTTTGTGTTGTGACAAGGTGTGGGGGGGGGGGGGGGGTATACAGAAGATAGCCCTATTTGGTGAAAGACCAAGTCCATATTATGGCAAGAACAGCTCAAATAAGCAAAGAGAAATGACCGTCCATCATTACTTTAAGACATGAAGGTCAGTCAATACAGAACACTTCAAGAACTTTGAAAGTTTCTTCAAGTGCAGTCGCAAAAACCATCAAGCGCTATGATGAAACTGGCTCTCATGAGGACCGCCACAGGAATGGAAGACCCAGAGTTACCTCTGCTACAGAGGATAAGTTAATTAGAGTTACCAGCCTCAGAAATTGCAGCCCAAATAAATGCTTCACAGAGTTCAAGTAACAGACACATCTCAACAACTGTTCAGAGGAGACTGTATGAGTCAGGCCTTCATGGTCGAATTGCTGCAAAGAAACCACTACTAAAGGACACCAATAAGAAAAAGACACCTGCTTGGGCCAAGAAACACGAGCAATGGACATTAGACCGGTGGAAATGTGTCCTTTGGTCTGGAGTCCAAATTGGAGATTTTTGGTTCCAACCGCCGTGTCTTTGTGAGACGCGGTGTGGGTGAACAGATGATCTCCGCATGTGTATTTCCCACCGTAAAGCATGGAGGAGGAGGTGTTATGGTGTGGGGGTGCTTTTCTGATGACACTGTCTGTGGTTTAATTAGAATTCAAGGCACACTTAACCAGCATGGCTACCACAGCATTCTGCAGCGAAACGCCATCCCATCTGGTTTGGGCTTAGTGGGACTATCATTTGTTTTTAAACAGGACAATGACCTATTTTACCAAGAAGGAGAGAAATGGAGTGCTGCATCAGATGACCTGGCCTCCACAATCTCCCGACCTCAACCAAATTGAGATGGTTTGGGATGAGTCGGACCGCAGTGTGAAGGAAAAGCAGCCAACAAGTGCTCAGCATATGTGGGAACTCCTTCAAGACTGTTGGAAAAGTATTCCAGGTGAAGCTGGTTAAGAGAATGCCAAGAGTGTGCAAAGCTGTCATCAAGGCAAAGGGTGGCTATTTGAAGAAACTCAAATATAAAATATATTTTGATTTGTTTAACACTTTTTTGGTTACTACATGATTCCATGTGTGTTATTTCATAGTTTTGATGTCTTCACTATTAATCTACAATGTAGAAAATAGTACAAATAAAGAAAAACCCTTGAATGAGTAGGTGTTCTAAAACTCTTGACCGGTAGTGTATATTTCAGTAATGTTTATGGAAAACATATGATGCAAAACAGTGGAGGCCTGCATTGATAATCCCATTGAACCCACTGGCCTAAGTAGACCAATTATAATAGGATTTTTAAATCAGGTGAGATCAAAAGGATTAAAGGGATTAAATAACATTGTTGTCACAAACAAGATAGGTTACAGAACTCATGCAAATGCACATTTTGGCACAAGTGCACATTAGACTTACCTGGAAAAGTTTCAGCGCCTTCACGAGCCCTCCAACTTCATTCTTGAGTGAGAAGACAATCGCTGCCCGCCCGTCTGATGGCGCGTTCTTTTTCTCGGTTCTGCTCTCCTCGATCTTCGTGAAGGTTGATTTGTTCATCTGTGGAAAAAAAAAAAAAAAAGAACAGAAATGAGCGTCATGAGTCAACGATAGATTGACGAATGCCCTTTTCACCAGCCAACTTTCATCAGTGTCGGGGTAGGCTAGTATCCATCCAGTGACGCACGGTCTGTCTGCCGTGGGACATTTAGTCACTCAACTGTGATGGTGGCAGCTGTTGAAGGCGCCTGGCCCCAAGAAACTAAACGTCAGTCTAGTGTCGTGTGTTTTGTGAATTGTATAGTTAAATAACTTCAAATAATTGTACATATGCCGAGGCCTACTTGGATTGATTTGTAAACTTGTACATTGAAGAAATACAATTAAACGTTATTAAACAAATACACCACATTACTATAAGAAGCACATTCCTTTTGCAAATCAACAGCACCTTTAAATCCGGATCTAAACTAGCCTATGCTGTCGTGCCAATGAACTAATCACTTGGATCATACACACAAAAATCCGACAAACATAATAACCTGAACAATATCCAGATCAGAATAATCCCTCACTGTATCCTTATTATTTTACCGATATTCTCTATTTTGTTGTTAAGAATTAAGATAACTCATAAAAACATGTTCAATGCAATAACAGAAACTATTGCACGTTTAACCTGTTTGGATTAGATTGTATTAGTGGCGACGGTCAATCGATTTTAATCCCGTCATCGCGTCAATGAAAATCAGCACCCGGGACAGTGATAACCCCATTTTAAGCGACGGTTGGTTGGCGCTGTCCATTGTTCTGAATTTCACTGGCTCAATTTCAAGGCATCCAAATGGCCAATTAAAATCAGGACTTTTTCATAACAAATAGTAATAAATAAAACATTAGGCTAATACCTTAGTCTAATTACATTCAACATGTTATTCAGTTAAAGTGATGTTTTATAACAATTATCCTATAGTCTAAAGATAAAATCAGCTAATTTCATTTGCTACCAACCATATTTCCTTCAGCGATTATGAATTGAATTTGCTACCAACCATATTTCCCTCAGCTGATACGGAGGAGACAGCGCGGGAAACCAGCCGTCGTTGGCCCTCAGTCAGCAGAACCCGTAGCAGCATTATAAAACGCACGACAGCAGTTCGAGACACCGGACAGAGGCACGGAACGGGTCAGGTTGGCAGGCACCGCGCAGTAGGTGACTCGCCGCGTCTTGGTTTAACGAAGGTGTGCCGGTGTCCGGCCCAAACACGGGATTTAAAGCAATCCCATTTAGGAAAGCGCGAGGTCGGAAGCCTATTATTAGCTCCTTTTAGGCGACTTTAATCTATCACGCGAGATTAGGGTGCAGTTAATGAATCCAACACGAGACTGTTTTAAATGATCTTAATTTGATGTGGATTACTATTTTATGTAGCCCTATCACTTGTAATATGGATGTATTTTTTTTTTTTTTTTTTACAAATAGTTTTTATATATTATACATCGATTGTGATATGGTGTGTCTGTATTAATAGGCTAGTTATAGAGAGCAACAGGTAACATTTCTGGTGAATTAGTTACTGAAATGTTAGATATGTTCCAATTGATTTAGCCTAATTGGGTTAGATTGCAAGTGCTGTTTCAAGAGATTCGAGGGATTCTATATGTACGAGTTAAAGATAGGTTATTTCAACCTGTGATTTGCAGGATATTTGAAATTATATCGGCACGTTTTTGTATCCCTGCAAAGTTCTGCACTCATGACGGTTTTAGCGTTTGACGCATTGAAATTATCACGAGATTGAAACGGTTTAACAAGAGCTATATATATATATATATACGACTCTGAGTTTAACCAGTTACGACAAAAACCTGCAACTATCGTTGATTACTGAGAAATGAATGGTTACGCCTACTAATTAGGCTACAACTAAATTGACATGACATCTATCGCCAGATAGTTTCGTTTAAACGAATTGGGTTTTAAATAGTATAATAGCGCAATGTCAACCAATGGCTGGCAAAAGCCAAACGCTTTCTCCAATTCAAACGGATATCCCACTTCCAAATGCAATGTTTGGAGAACTGTAAGAAAGTTGCCTATAACAAGAAAACAACTATCTAATAAGGCAAAAAAAAAAAAAGGAAACAATTTCTTACCTCATTGTTCAGTAGCTTTTCTTCAAACCCGATGTTAATGGAGTCGAAAGACCTTCCTCGGCGCGGTCCTTCAATTTTATTGGAATACATATTGAAATTCCGTACTATTTATTCCCCTGTCTTTCGAATGTTTATCGACTATGTAATGTGGTAGTCTACCAGGAGCAAGACCAGGCTTTGGTATTTATCAACCACAATGCAGAGAGAGGAGGGGGGTGCTGAAGTGTGTGTGTGTATGTGTGTGTGTGTGTGTGTGTCTGTCTGTGTGTGCGTGCGTGTGTGTGTGGAGGGCAAGCAGCAATAATATCAGCCCTCGACAGCAAATGGAAAAAGAGAAGCATCCCTAACGTCATGGGAAAATAAATGAATCTAAGACACCTTTTCATTTTGTCTGACGGCCTGAAAGAGGCGACGGAAACATTACCGTACAGAGATCAAACAGTAGAATAGTCCGGTCCTAAAAGAAAGGCATTTCAGATGACGCATACGTCCTAATAAAGCAACGTGTGTCGTTGTCGATGATTCATCTCTCATATTAATTAGATTTTTCATCAATAAACAAGATTTTGTCATCATGGATCTCCCCCCCCCCCCTTCATTGAGGTTAAAAAGTTCAGCAAACAAACTCTCGTAAGTCTCCTGAAGCTATTTTACAACTCAATGCTGGTTAGAATGACCAATAGCCTTCTCACCTACTGGTAGCGCCCAGCAAACAGGGGAATGAGATTTCTGATCCGCATGGGAACATGGTCCTAGTGTTAATTAATAAGCTAAAACATTGTTCTGAAGATCTGTAACTTGATCAAGGTAACCGCTTTCTCATTTCTGACCAATCACACAGCTTCCAGTTCTGACAACGTTCCAGTAATCTCACGTGAGTGAACGCTTTCTAAAGCTAATACGATGTTCGAAGAATACTTGAGCCACTTTCAGGCTCTGGAAATATGTACCGGTATAAACGTTTGACATATCTTGTTGAGTCTTGACATTGTTTACTGCCCCTTGGGGTCTTGTTGATCACGTGGCTCTCGCTCCTTTCGGGAAAGCAGGAAATGGTCAGTGATTTATTTGTAAGAGGATTAAACCTGATCCACACTTTTTTTTTTCTGTGATTAAAGTTCCTCGTGCCCCATCTCCCTACTTCTCCCCACCCCAAATCCATTCCCCTGCTTTATAAATCTTCATTGCACTTTATCACTTTGAGCTTTGTGACCTGGCAGGCTAAGCCGCCCCTGAAGGTCAACTGTAAGGATATTTTTCTCTCACCTGTCTGAGTCTGGTGAGAGTTTATTTGAGATTAAGAAAATTACTAATGGTTTTCATTACTTCCGGTGGATGAAAAACACCTCAGGAGGGTTTGGGGTGAATTCCATTTAAGTTCATTCAGTAAACTTACATTTCTGAGGAAAATTGGAAGTGGAATTTCAGTTTACTTCATGAAGTGCCTGCGTCAGTGCCACCCATGCTACCCTCTTCACTAAAGGTGCTAATAACTTTGTGATGGGCCAGAAGCAGGTCTGTTTCATCCCAATACAGTACACTACAGACCCAAGGCTGTTGTACATGTGGCCGGTGCACATGATGCCCCCCTGTCAGGTGGTTGACACGAGGACCAGCTTAACACAATCAGGGAAGCTGTGAAGGATGCTTCCTCCTCCCTGAGGGACAACGTGTTTGAGAGGGGGGGCTAGCACTGCTCTGCTTTCCTTTCCTACAACACAAAGCAATGATGTACACTGAGCGGACAAAACATTAGGAACATGACATAGCCTGACCAGGTGAATCCAGGTGAAAGCTATGATCCCTTATTGATGTCATTTGTTAAATCCACTTCAATCAGTGTAGGTGAAGGGGAGGAGATGGGTTAAAGAAGGATTTTTAAGCCTTAAAACAATTGAGACATGGATTGTGCATGTGTGCCATTCAGAGGGTGAATGGGCAAGACAAAATATTTAAGTGCCTTTGAACGGGGTATGGTAGTAGGTGCCAGGCGCACCGGTTTGTGTCAAGAACTGCAACGCTGCTGGGTTTATCACGCTCAACAGGTTACTGTGTGTATCAAGAATGATCCACCAACCAAAGGACATCCAGCCAACTGTGGGAAGCATTGGAGTCAACATGGGCCAGCATCCCTGTAGCACAATTTCGACACCTTGTAGAGTCTATTGTGGCTGTTCTGAGGGCAAAAGGGGATGCAACTCAATATTAGGAAGGTGTTCCTAATGTTTTGTACATTCAGTGTAGGTTAGCTTTCTGTTTCCTTTCAGACTACACCAAGCAATGATGTAGATTAGCTTTCTGTTTTAGAAGCACACACTCTATTTTACCCTTAGAAAAATGTAGTTGATTTCCAGATGACTCCCTGCACATTAGAACACATACAGTGAATACACAACATCTTTTCCCAAACGCCCTGACAGATCCTGGATATGTACTAATATAATCTGCAACAGACACATCTCTGTTACTCTCCAGATGCTGTGTCTCTGTCTTTGATCTCTCTGAGAGCAGATCCCCTTATGTCTGTCTTCTTCTTGTTCTGTCTTCTTCTTGTTCTGTCTTCTTCTTGTCTGTCTTCTTCTTGTTCTGTCTTCTTATGTCTGTCTTCTTCTTGTCTGTCTTCTTCTTGTTCTGTCTTCTTCTTGTTCTGTCTTCTTCTTGTTCTGTCTTCTTCTTGTCTGTCTTCTTCTTGTCTGTCTTCTTCTTGTTCTGTCTTCTTCTTGTTCTGTCTTCTTCTTGTCTGTCTTCTTCTTGTTCTGTCTTCTTCTTGTTCTGTCTTCTTCTTGTCTGTCTTCTTCTTGTTCTGTCTTCTTCTTGTTCTGTCTTCTTCTTGTCTGTCTTCTTCTTGTCTGTCTTCTTCTTGTCTGTCTTCTTCTTGTTCTGTCTTCTTCTTGTTCTGTCTTCTTCTTGTCTGTCTTCTTCTTGTTCTGTCTTCTTCTTGTTCTGTCTTCTTCTTGGTCTGTCTTCTTCTTGTCTGTCTTCTTCTTGTTCTGTCTTCTTCTTGTCTGTCTTCTTCTTGTCTGTCTGGCATCAAAGACAACCCAATACGTA